AAGAAAGGAATATATCATATTACATCAATTTCTTTTGTTTTTATTTTTCAAGTAAGAAATACTATTTGTTGGCAATATAATTGAGCAAGGAGAAAAATATATTGATTTCTCTATGTCAACTAATCTCATTCTGCTGTTTTCTAGAAGTGTTGAACTTAAATATCTATAATTCTGGCAATAATTCTCTAATTTTGGAAAAAGCTGCTTTAATCCTGTGCCATATTCAAATCTATGAATTTACATATCCTGAGCATCACATACCGGTATGTCTGGTACAGGACATGTCATCTAGGAGTACATAGCATTGATATCAGCACATCAAATAATGCTTTTGCATTTTTTAAAAAATCAATTTTTTATTACAATCAAAGATTAGAAAATATGTACAGTTAATAATAAAATTTTAAATTATATGAATTATAAAATTAGATAAAAATTAGTCAAATAAATCACTTGTTGAGATGTCTTCACTGTGATCCAATCATAGATAGCAACATTCTTTGTTACAAACTGATTCCTGTCTGACATATGCAGCAGTTTAGTGCAGGGCTGTCAAAGTTACGGCCCGTCGTGCTGGCCACTCCCACGCCCGGTTTAGCGAAGGGGAAAAAAAGTCTCAATATATCACTTGATGCTGCCGTGATGTTTGACAACCCTGTGAGTGCATATTCTTTTTGGCCCCGGATCTTTGTTGTAATAAAGATTTGATTTCAATTTGATACATATCACAAAGCTGTGATACATGATAATTTTGCCTGAAAGCAAAAATTATCCCCCCTTTCACACACACCTTGAATACTTTAATTCATTGGGGGACAACTTGTCGCCCAGAGCTATGTGCAGCTTCCTGGAAATTCACATGAAATCCCTAACAGCCCTGTAGATCAGGGCTGTCAAACTTGCGGTCTGCAGGGTGGATGCGTCACGCGCTGGTCATGCCCATGCTCGGTTTAGCAAAGAGGGAAAAGTTGTGATAAGTTATGTGACGCCGCCATGACGATGCGAGTTTGACACCCCTGCTCTAGATTTTGCTGCTAAATTTCAGGGGTATCAGTGCATCCTATTCTCTGCTGCACCTTGATGTTCCCTTCTCTGTATGGTCCCATCCTGCTGGTGCTGTTTTTCTGTCTTGACTCTCCTGACATTTACTTTTTCTTTAAAAAAACAACTTTAATAATATCAAGGAATTATAAACTACCAAAAGGCAAAAGAAAAGAAAAAAGAGCCATGAAACTTGGAAGGGGAGAACTAGGCTATCAAAATTTGAACTATAAATAATTTATACAATAAAAAGAAAGAAACCTAAACAAAATAATGGACAATGATTTATTTATTTATTTTAATTTGATTTATATGCCGCCCTTCTCCAGAGACTCAGGGCGGCTTACAATGCGTTAAGCAATAGCCTTCATACTTTTGTATATTTATACAAAGTCAGCTTATTGCCCCCACAAACTGGGTCCTCAATTTACCTACCTTAGAAAGGATGGAAGGCTGAGTCAACCTTGAACCTGGGGAGATTCGAACTAGCAGTAATTGCAGGCAGCTGGATGATAATAACAGGCTATTGATCTGCTGCGCCACCAGGCTCTTCCTATTATTATTAAACTTGTATGCCACCCATCTCCCAACAATTCTGGGCAGCTCATAACAACAAATTCCAATAAATTCAATAAAATATAAAGATAAAAGGGAAGCCCAGCAGATCAGATGGAATGAAGGGAATGGTCTCACTCTCTCTTGCCAAAGATCAAGGTGAAGAGCCAGGTCTTCATGGCTTTTCTAAACAGAAGTAGAGTGGGGTCCATCTGGATCTTGGGAGAACCTCATTCCAGTAGGCAGTCACTGCTATAAAGAAGGCCCCAATTCTGCCCCCACCCTCCACCCCCATAGATGACATTGTTTAATTGAAGGAATCATGAGTGACTCTCTGAAGGGCTCTTCAATCTAGGAAAGAGTGCAATTGGTTCACCAAAAGGACTTGTGCATATGCAGTGTCCTTGCTGGCAATGGCTGAGCTCTCTTCAAGCAGGAGCTGCAAGTCCAGGAAAACCCCCAGATTGGGTAGCAACTTTGAAGGGAGAAGTGCAACCCCATCAAGGATGTAATATTCTCAGATCTGGAGTAGATTAACAGTTGTATATAATTATGAAACATTACATTTTAGTTTTCATACAAACTCTTGTTCTCAAAACATCATGTTATAACTGCCCAGAGTTTTTGGGAGTGGGGTGACATATAAATGTAATTTATCATCATCACCAATATTTCCACTGCTTCAGCTGAATCAGTTTCAAGGTGCACTTGTTTCTTCAAGACATCTTTTGTAGTGTAGTGTACAAATAGCTTTTCAAAATGTGTTGCAAAATTTTTCAAGAATCCAGTCACAATAGTTTTAAAGTATTTTATAAATATATTAAAGTCCAAAGTTTAGGAATATGGTTCAACAGAATAGCAGTATGTTTCATCTTAACTCCCTTATTGAAATTTTAGTTAACAATATTAAGATTATTCAACCCATGGAACAACCAAAGGACATATCCAATCATATGTGTTGATTTACTTTAAATTTACTGCATCTGCAACATAAAATATCTGATCTTTAGCATTTACTGCTACTTCTCCCTAAATTGTGCCATTGACTTTCTCTCCATCTCTTTGTGTTTTATAATCTCCCTTCTGTCCAAACAGGAAACCTCATGTAATAATATTAATATTTAATGTAATTGTTATTCCTTTAGGCAGATTTTTAAGGTAGTTCTGTTTTATTTGTGATGCAGTTCCTAGTATACTATTCGAAGGCTGATAATAACCCTTTCCCAGTGAAAATTGTACATCTGTTTTAAGAATTTAAAGAATATAATGAAATAATAAGCTTATTAGTTCCCAACTTGCATTCGAGATTTCTTCAAAGCTTGATTCAGTCTGAAATAAATATGCAGATCATTTCTGGAATCTAGGTTTTTTTTGTTTTGTTTTTTGCTATTAAAATGTTAGAACCTATAAATTGAAAAAAGAGTGTTCCCCAGGTTTGAGCATAAGTAGGCAATTCTGCAAATATTTATCTTTCAAGCAGTAATTAGGAGATAATGCATTAGGGTGATGACTTGAAGGGGTTTGATTAGCTGAAAATACAGATAAAAGGAATGAGTCATGAATTGTCATAATCAGGTAAATTATGTGTTTTGTCTGAGAATAAAGGAGTTTGAAAATAGTATTGAAGCCTTTGAAATTAGGCACAAAAATGTAGCTTCCCAGTTTTAAAATTATGGCTTTCGTGTAGGAGACATGAAACAGCATAATCTGTCAGAGTAACTCCAATAGGATGTTAAATAGCTTTGTGCATAATAAAGAAGCCTAATTGTTTTTTAAAAATAATGTTAAAAGCAATACTAGCTTTGATCTTCATGATTAAATAAATCGTACATGGTACTGTCTTCCAATGACTTTTACATCAAAAATTTTAGGAAAAATGATATTGATTGGTTATGCAGTTAGGAAATTGAGTTATGCCTCTTAATGGTACAATCAAGAGCATCTTCATGCTTTTACTCATCACATGCTTTCCCATCACTTGGTCTCATGACCATAGACATATGATTGTAAGGTCTATAGATTTTTTGGGTGAAATGGTCTGCTGAGATTTGAAAAATACCAGCATTGGTTGGGTTGTACACTAACTAACTAACACTTAGATTTATATACCGCTTCATAGTGCTTTACAGCCCTCTCTAAGGGGTTTACAAAGTCAGCATATTTCCCCCAACAATCTGGGCCCTCGTTTTACCGACCTCGGAAGGATTTAAGGCTGAGTCAACTTTGAGCTGGCCAGAATTGAACTCCTGTCAGTCGGCAGACTTAGCCTGCAATACTGCATTCTGACCACTAAGCCACCACGGTACTTAGTCACACTGTGCTTAGCCAACATGAATGTACCCATAGTTTAGTGAATAAATAAATAACAGTAGTAACATAATTAGTCTTAAATGTATTATTGACACTGTTCTAATTGATATCATTCTTCTGGGTATTTTATGATGATAGATAGATAGATAGATAGACAGACAGACAGACAGACAGACAGACAGACAGACAGACAGACAGACAGACAGAGTAACATTTTGCTGTTAGAGAACAATAATGGTAGATTTGACATTGCCCAAGAAAAGCACAGGTTTTTATATTCCATAAAAATGTGAAGCAAACAAGATTTGCAGGCTTTTAATGCTTTAAAAACCTGAAAAACAGGCTTAATCCAAATGAACAGACCCTTCCCCTTACTGTAATGTGACTCTTTATGGCTGAGAACAGCTCTGTTATGCTTTCCATGATTTTATTAGCATCTCCTGTATTGCTGGATGCTTAAAAGACCTAGACTTAGACCAACAGGGCAAATGTTTCCCTTATATTTGCCAATTTATAGGTATAGATGCTAATTTAGAGTCATTTCCAAAACTGATTTTAATTTGATGCTACCTAATACCTAAATTAGATCATCCAAACAATGATTTCCTTCCAAATAACCCAGGTGAATGTCTCTCGCTCAAATTGAAATTTGCTGCTCAGAAGCTCAATGTGTCTGCCACACTTAATGTTTCTGTATCATGAGCAGCTTTTATTGCTGCTAATTGTCACGGTTATGTTTTTCTGTAATACCTCAAATAAATACAAATGAAGGATCAGTTATGCTTTTGTAACAAAAACAAACTTCTGGTAATCCTGCCCCTAACCCCAAATACGCCTGTATTTTTCTAATTTTCTGAACAATTAGTGTGGCAGAAAATAGCAAGCTAAGTAAGACCAATTAACATTCAGAAGTGTTTGTTCTGTGCTCGGCCAGCCCTAGTTGTGTTCCATAAACTGTAGTCAGCCCTAATTGGGTCTCTAATGTCACCTTGAGACCTGAGACAGGCATCATGAAAGTGAGGCTAGAGTGTGGGTGACCATACTCACCTATTGTCTTTATTTTTTCTGGTCTTGCCCTATTCACCGTGAGTGAGGATTTTCAATCCACATGGAAACAAGCAGTGACAACTAACATCTCAAGTCTCCTACTCATCATGGAATATGATCAGGCCAAAACACTTATCAAATTATCTTATAGCAGACACAGAGGACCTAATGGATCTAGCCAGGACTCCAACCTTTATTGCCAACAGGTACTCTGCCTCCCCTATGGCATAGCTAACTAAAACCTGAAGTATTTAAACACAGGAGGGTGTTTATGGGGCATGATATCATGCCTTCCCCTCAGCTGTCTTTAAAGGTCGCTACAAGAAGATTCCTTGCCTGGGAAGATAATGCTCCTGTCACTCTGGACACAAGAAACAAAGGGCATGTGCTTTTCCAATGCCTGTACAGATAGTCCTCGAGTTGCAGTTGTTCACTTAGTGACTTCAAAGTTACAACAGGACTGAAAAAAAGTGATTTATGAGCATTTTTCACACTTATGACTGTTGCAGCATCCCCATGTGATCAAAATTCAGATGCTCGGCAACTGGTTCATATTTATGACCTTTGCTATGTTCCAAGGTCATGTGATCACCTTTTGTGACTTTCTGACAAGCAAAGTCAATGGGGAAACCAGATATACTTAACTGTGTTAAATTAGTAACACAGTTGTTAAGTATATCTGTTTTCCCCATTGACTTTGCTTGTCCATTAACAACAGCAGTGATTCACTTAACAAATGTGGCAAGAAAAGTTGTAAAATGGGGTAAAATTCACTTAACAGATTTCTCACTTAGCAACATAAATTTTGGGCTCAGTTGTGGTTGTAAACTGAGGACTACCTGTACTACTACAAAGACATTTGTTTAGCCTCATCTCACCTTTACTGCATAAATACCTTGGGTGCCCAGGATAATTTTAAAACACCCTATTGCTTTCAGATACCAGCCCTGCCACACCATTCAGTGTTGTCAGGTTCTATACAGCAGAGGTTCAAAATTCTTCAGATTATGACCTATAACTGTATAGGCTTCTATATATATATGACCTGTAAAGATATAGGCTTCCATATACTTTTTCTACTCTTCTGTACCCATCTAATGTTTCTGCTCCTTATTTTGGATTCTTTCTACACAATGCAGGTAGTCTTTGATTTACGATGGGTCCTTAATGACAGACCACATTTATATGACTGTTTACAGAGTCCCATGGCTACATGACTTAAATTTACATTTTTTTTTTTGCTGAAAACCAATGTTTACAAGCAAAGATCAGTCTGCTTAATGACCGTGGCATTTGCTTTACAACCATGGTGTTTGCTTAATGAGATGGGTTACCTGGTTTACAACTGTCATGACTTATGACCGTAATGGGCAGGCTCCATTACAGTAATTAGTCAAGAACTAGCTGTTTCTAGTTCACAATTATGTGTGATATAGTAAGTCCTTCTGACATATGGGATACCAGAACCAGAACACAGCATCAAATCACTTTCAAATACTGCATATTGGTGTCACTTCTAATGGCAGATGGATAGCCCTTAGAATCTTACACTCAAAATGAATAAATACAATTAGTAGCAATGTCTGTAACAATCTGTGACAGCATCAGAAAATTAAAAAGCATGTAATGTCATCCTGCAAATTTCATGTTGATGTTTTTATCTCAGAATGTCTTATGCAAGCATATTGATCATTTGCTCACCTTGCTCTCCCCATTTACCTGCCTCTGGCATCAACAGCATTTAGTGTAACTACTGCTTATTTAGTATTATTAAGAGTACGCTGTCAGCGTTCCAAGTAATGCACCCATAGAAAGCAGAACTTTGAGACAGGTAGATTCCTCAAAGAACAATTTATTGGATACATCAGATTGGCACAACTGGTGAAAACAGACTCTGAAAGTTCTTGCAGTTTTCACCTGATTAAAAAGTAAAAGTTCCCCCTTTCCCCAAGTCATCAGTCATATTGTCCAATAGAGGTGCTGGTCAGTTGCTTGGTTACTCCACTCCTCCTCTCCCCAGCCACTTGTTGGAATGTTCTTGGTTCCCACAGAAAAACTTTTCATTTTGATTACAAATCCCCAGCTATCTTATCTCCCCCTTCCCTGTCCCTTCTTCCTTGTGGCAACCCTGAAGCCTCAAAGATGGCCTTAGCCAGGTTCGCTTCAGGGTTGACATACATAATTATAAAAGCGGGCCAGTAAAAGACCACTGGTTTCCCTGCATAAATCAACCATAATTCAATAGCTTTATTTTTGTTCAGATACAAACATTCAGGTGATAATTTGAGAAGCTTATCCAAAAGGAGAAACCGTCTTGAAGAAGAAAAAAAAAGAATGTTTGTTAATATAACGATTCTCAATGGTCCGTTGGGGCTACCTTCAGAATTTTAAAAGACAGAATATTTTTAATGATGCTTTTTATGTCCTTCCTTGTTTTACTCACATAATGAATTTCATTGGGAATGACATTTAAATATTGCCAAGCACTGACAGTACTTGAAACTTTTTAAATCCCAGATTTACAGGGATAGTCCTGATTTTGGGGAAGGAAGAGGATTCTTCCTAATGGGAGTGCCCAAGGTAGAGTGGACAGAACAGTATGGCAACCGGTAGCCATGGAAACAATGCCTTTCTATTACTCATCAAATCTTGGAGTACCTTATGGTAGAAGGTAACATAGGAATGAAAGTATTCCATCATCTATTTCCTGAATGATTGATTAGGACTACCAGTACTACTTTGCAGAAATAGAGAATAAGAAGCGAAGTTAGTGTTCCTGTATCTCTTTGTTGACAACTAATGGATTTTTTTTGCAGACCAGGTCTGATAACCATATGATGGAGAGAGAGATTTATTGATTGTGAGTCATTTATTAAAATAGTTTGACCTGGAAATCATTTTGCACAGAGCATAGGAGCACAACAGGGAATAGGGATATTTGGAACGATTTAAGTTGTTTTGCTCCAGAAAAGCTGTTCTAAGCATCTTTGTGTCCTTTTTTCTCTGATAATTTTTGCCTGTTGTTTTAGGTGAATTAGCAGATTAATTTGTATATATGTATGAATTTTTAATATTCATGTATCTAGATTTTTACTTTTGGAAATCAAGTCAGCCTACTTATTGTACAAATTATCAGGACTACAGAAAGCATTGTGTTTAGTTTTTGTTTCTCTACCTTTTCCATTCTTCTGTTCCTTACATTTATATCCAGACTCCTCCTCCTTTCCCATCTGAAATACTTTGTAGAGGTAGTTTTTGTTTAACAACAATATGTTCAGTGATGGTTCTAGGTGATGGCAGTGCTGAAAGAATGGTAGTTAAACCCATTTCCTAAAGTTATGGCCGTTGTTGGGTGCCCACAATCACCTGATCAAAATTCAGGCATTTGATAAGCTGCCTGCTCTTACAACAGTAGGAGCACTTCAACTGCCCCCCCCCCTGCCTATACTCTCCAACCCTGCCCTGGCCTTGCTCCCCTGAGCTCTGCTTGCCTGCCGTCCTGCTGCCTCCAGCTGAACTTCGCCATCTTCAATTGCCATTTTCAAATGGGGATTGGTGGAATTGCTGTCATTAAGTGATGTAGACACATGATGTCATGCTTTATGGCCACCTTGTTTAACGATGGGAATTCCAGTCCCAATTTCTGTTGCATCTTGAGGACTGCCTATATGCTGATTTCTTGATGTTATATTTACACGGTTTGAAAAACAAATACAACCAATCTAAATTTGGTATTATGGGAAGAAGCCTACAAACATATGCACAGACTCAACACATTGTACAAACATTGAACATCTCCTATGACCACTGCTAGTAAAGGAGTTGGAAAGAATTCTAGCAATCATGTTCTATGTGTCTTTCCTATATTGTTATATTTAGCATATTTATTTATGAATGTATTGCAACACAGTGGTTTTTAAACTGGGGGTATTTACCAAGAGGGTAATTTAAGCCTATCCTTTAGGAAATGACAAGACTGAGTCTGAGGGAGGGGTCAAACACATCATAAGCCAGAAGTCTCTGTGCACCCATAAGAGACCTAAGTCCAGCCCATCTTGAATGCCTGCCTTATCTCTTGCTCATTTCCCTTGACATCTGTTGGTCAGATTCTTGTAGAGAGCTTAAGCTTGCAATAAATCTTTATACTCATTTGAACTGCCTGAATCTCCTGATTTCTCCGGCGCTTGACATATCCTGAGGCAATGGAACAATTCATAATTGCTTATTTGAACCCTTGTCCTAGCAGATGAATTTTATATATACTTATTCAAAGTTATTTAATTATTTCAAAGGAGAAGAAGTAAAGCACAGAAAAATAGGTCTCGTTTTTACTCAAGGGAGCTAGCCACACAGTTATTTATGGTAAATTATACAATTATATTAACACGTACAGTATGTCAGACAAGGTAACAATAGGAAAGACAAAGGGAGTTTAATATACAAAATAATATATGCAGTTCAAACTTCTAAATCATCTTTAAACTGAGATTCCTGGCAATTCAGATAGCAAAAGAAATACTAGTTGTCAGACTGTTACAATTCCTGATTATACTTTTCTGGTATCTTTTTTTCCCCCTGCAACCATGAAATTTTGCTGTAGCCACTTTCATTATTCTTCTGTTAATTTCAAAACTATTATTATATAATTCAAAAGTACAAAAACATTCTACAAAAGCCAATGAATTTTCCAGAATAAAATTGATACATGAGATATTTTATGTTTAGAAGACTTTATAGCATGCAACTATCATATGAACTGACATTGCATTTAAGCACTTCACTAATATTTATTGAATTGAGCAATTTATTTCTGCAAACAATCTACTCAATGTGCCTACCAAATGCAAAATGGTAATGATGTTCAATTCATTAAAATTTTAAATCTATCCAAATATGATAAAAATGTCCATGATCTTCCACTGACTTGTACCTGTGTATTTTGAACTGAGGCCCAAATAACAAAATTAAGACAAGTAAAATCTTCCTTTCAATTGTCACATTAATCTGGTATAAATGCAGATCACAGTAGAACACTTTGAAAAGCAGACTAAATGAAATTATTGAGCATCCATACCACAAACAATCTATAGGGCTTTAAACATCTACCACGTTCTTTGTCTGCTGCAAAATATAAATACGGCAAATGCCCTGCAAAATATTAAATGATAAATAATAGCAAATAATTCTATTTGTATCTTCTTTCTTAACAGAATCTTCTCAGTTGCCTTTATCTTGTTACTGAAAACATTTTTTTTAACTGACCCAAATCCAACAGTAATTCTATGTTTTTGGACATAATTAGTGGTTGTGGATGAGAATGTACTTCCTATGTATCCTTTGTGTGTCTAAATTAATTCTGCAGTGGACACTGACTGAGCATGAATCACTTTATTGTGTTAAGCTACTGGAATTTTGGTGAATTTTCAGATGCCTTGCTTTAATAAGTAGCTGTTCGAGAAAATATAATTAAAACGTTGCTGTGGTTAATGTGCACAATTTTTCCTCTTTGAAGAATATGTATAATGAGGCCTGACAGATGTGCATTTTCCTTCCACAGACAAAAGCAGTTGGGTTGCTTGATGCAGATATATATGGGCCGTCCATACCAAAAATGATGAATCTGAAAGGAAATCCAGAAGTGACATCAAGTAAGTCAGTCTGGATATCACAATTTTCCTAGAAACTGAAGCTATTTTTTTTTTTTTGGTACAGGTAATCCTGGATTTACAACCATTTGTTTAGTGAATGTACAGCACTGAAAAAAGAGACTTATAGCCATTTTCCACACTTACGATCATTGCCGCATCCCCATGATCATACGATCAAAATTCAGACGCTTGGCAACTGGTTGATATTTATGACAGTTGCACTGTCCCGGGCAGTGGTGGGACTTGAATAACTTAACAACCGGTTCTCTGGCTGGGTAGGCGTGGCCAGTTTTGTGACTGGGTGGGTGACGTCACTCATCACACTCAGCCCCGCCTTCCGGCCACTCGCCTCAAAGGCAGAGGTAGGATTCAGCTGGTTGGGGCTAATCCCACCACTGGCTGGCCCCACCCATTTTTTGGCCTGATTTTTGGCCGCTTTCAGGCTGTTTTCAGGCCATTTTTTGGGCCATTTTTGGCCCAAAAATGACCCAAAATGGCCCGGAAAATAGGCCAAAAAATGAGTGGGGGCAGGGCCAGTCAGTGGTGGGATTTGGTGGTTCACCAAACTGCAGAATCTTAACTACCGGTTTTCCCAAACCGGTGCAAACCGGCAGCAGCCCACCTCTGGTCCTGGGGTCATGTGGTCATTGTAACCTTCTGGCAAACAAAGTCAATGGGGAAGCCAGATTCACTTAACAACTGTGTTACTAACTTAATGTCTGTAGAGATTCTCAGCCATCCAGGTTATGGTTGTCCCAAAGGTGTTTTTTTTTAAATATGTCTGGACTTCCATTGTTTTTATTAAAGACATTTCACTTCTCATCCAAGAGGCTTCAGGTCAGAACTGAAGAAGCTTCTTGGATGAGAAGCGAAATTTCTTCAAGCAAAAACAAAGTCCAGTTGCCTTTTGAAAAAAAGCACCTTTGGGATTACTGATTTAACAAATGCAGTGATTCACTTAACAACTGTGGTAAAAAAGGTCGTAAAAAGGGGCAAAAGTCACTTAACAACTATCTCATTTAGTAACAGAAATTTTGAGCTCAATTGTGATCGTAAGTCGAGGACTACCTGTAAACTGCTCTGGAAGTTAAAAGTTACTTATATTTTAACATAAAAGCAAAAAATTGAATCTATAAACCTATTGCTTGTTATGAGAACCAGCTTCTGATGTTGTTAGGATTTGTCTAACTTCCTGGAGTTCTGAGTTTTCCTGCAGCTGTTTATGCTTCTTAAATACATCGGACTGGGAGGTGCTTCTTACAACCACATGAGGAAGTTCTGAAGAGTAGAAGGAGACTTCAGGTTTCTTTTGTAGATTGCTGAAAGAGGGCCAAGAAAAAGATTCTAAATTATACATACCTAGTTTGTACAGAGGAGAGAAGTTCTGTACAGAAAGAAAACAAATAATTGCTTATTTATTACGCGTTGAAGTATTTACAAGAAAGTGCCTTCAACGTAGTTCAGGTTTCCATGGTTCTGATGTAAGCAGGTGGAGATTCCTTAGCAAACCAGATATTTTTGATAGATATTTAAAGAATAACAACAACAACAACAAAATAGCAGGTTTAAAACCAAACTAACAATTGTGGGAAATGGGGGAGGGTGAAGTTATCACTCGCAGTGCTTTTCTATTTTCCATCACAGAGATTTTGCTAACAGTGCAAGCATTTATTTCTTCGATTTTCAAGAAAAAAAATAGTGGGACTAACATTTTCAAGATTTTTTTTACACAAGGGTAGCTTGTTTTAATTTACCGACCGAGAATATAGTACAGGCCCTCAATGGAACTGTCCCTGGCTCTCACCAGTACTGAATAGTTTTTTTCCCCCTTTACTGGAATAATATACTGTTTGTTAAAACACCCTTTACACTAATGTTTCTGGGTCTTTTTTAACAGAGGTTTACTAGATAAAAATGTGTGGCTCGTAGTATGTGTAATGTTGTTTTATTTTATAATTATTATTTATTATTATTATTATTATTATTATTATTTATTGAATTTGTATACCGCTCTACTCCCGAAGGACTCAGGGCGGTGAACAGCCAAATAAAATACATATAATACAAATGTTATAAAACCATTAAAATACAATTAAATAATTGGCCCGGAAAACGAAATTTAAAACACCCCAAATTCATAAGGCAAATTTAAAATTTAAAAATTTAAAAAAAAATTAAAAAAAAATTTAAAAGGGAGGTTAGGCCAGGCCGGCCTGCTGGAATAAAAATGTTTTGATGGCACGGCGGAAAACGCACAGATCTAGGATTTTCAGGGACATCAAAGCCTGAAATTATAGAAGTTGATGCTACAAGATTTTTGGGGTTCCACAAGGTAGATTGTAATTTAAGCCACTTCATATATTGGGAGATAGTTGTTTAGCCTATGAATTTAAGGGAATCTAGAGAAATATGAACTCTTATATTAACCACCAATGATTTTTCTAATAAGACTTTGAAGTAAGTTTCTGCTTACTTTAATAGGATAAGCAATTAGGTCATTTATTAGACCTTTATCCTGTTTTGCATTCAGGAGCTCCAGGCAATGCTATTTTCCCCACAATAACTCTGGGAGGTGGATTGAGATAGTGGTTTAGTCTCAGATCAGTCAGTGGATTTCTATTGCTGAGGGTGGACATTTGTCTTCCTGCTCTGAGCCCCAAACTACCGTACATATCATTAGCAGTGGTGAAATTCAAATTTTTTTACTACCGGTTCTGTGGGCATGGCTTGGTGGGCATGACTTGGTGGGCGTGGCAGGGAAAGGATACTGCAAAATCTCCATTCCCACCCCACTCCTGGGGGAAGGATATTGCAAAATCTCCATTCTCACCCCACTCTGGGACTAGCCAGAGGTGGCATTTGCTGGTTCTCCTAACTACTCAAAATTTCTGCTATCGATTCCCCAGAACCTGTCAGAACCTGCTGGATTTCACCCCTGATCTCACAAAACATACACATTATTCAAAGATGATTTTGTGTCTCTGGGAATATGCAAAAATCAAGAATGCGTTTCTTTTCCAATTGGGAATTTAACTGTTACAGACTCAGCACATTTCTAACAGAGAGGTAGTCTAACCCTGCCAAATGTGCTGGAAGAAAAGAACAATCCTAGATAAACAGGAAGAATTGAAACATTTGAAAACTTTTCTTTGCCGAGATTAAAAAAAGAAGCAATATAGTACTGAAAATTCTAATTGTTTGAAAATGGAAAGGGAGAGGCTATTTCTATCCTTCTGTAGAAGCTGAATTTGCTTATTGAGTATAAAAATTAGTAATACTTAGTCATACTCTTCAGTTTTATGTCTGCAATATGTTACTGTAATTCACATCTCATAAAGTCTGTGCAGCTGTTACTGTAGTAGGAATACAGAGGAAAAATTCCATTATCATTTTGTTTGCCATGATAATCTTGTGTGCTCTCTCTGCTGCAGTGTTCTTTTTAAATTTCTGTATGGCGAACTAACTACTGAGTAACTGCATTGAAAGATAATTTGAGATGATGGTTGTTAATATAGATAATTGTGGAAAGTAGGAACTGCGGCAGTCTCTTAAAAATCAAATGTTCATTTTAGACATTTAAAACTGTTAATGACAATTTTATGTGTACTCGTTTCACACACATACACTGCTATCCAGGATGAGGCCATACTTTAGCAGAGAACAAGATGTATATTCAAGATATTTTCCAGAATTTATATTATAGTTCTAACTCCTGGGAGAGAAGTAACTTTTATTGAATTGTGGTTGTCTCTTCAGCAGTGGAATCACACTTGAAATTATTTCAAGCAAAGTACTAGCTGTTTCATCAATGTTCTCGTCCATTCTTTACTTTTCAGGCTTTCTTTGCAATAGAACTAGAGGAAAGAATTTAACCATTTTTGTGGCATTCTATTTAATATTTCTTTTATGCTGCTATAGACTATAAGACTATAAACTTTTCTAGACTTGCCTTTGTCTCTGTGGGGATGCAAAAGGACTATCATCATCTTAAATTAAACTAATAACCCTAAATATTTCCTAAAACATCTATTAGATGTTTGACAATACCTGTTAGGAAGGGCTGTAGGTGCTAAAGGCAATACTCACCAGGGTGGATTTGATTTAAATTGAGTTGATTTAAATCACAATTTAAATCATGATTTAAATCACTAGTAAAAAGGCTTGATTTAAATCAACTCTATTTAAATCATAATTTTTAAAGAGCAACTGTCATCTCTGCTACTCCTTTAACCCACTGTTGACTCACCGATAGTCCCAGTGTTGCAGAATATACAGCCTCATGCTACATAACTAAGCTCCGTTTCATGCTGAATAAACTAAATTATTTATGTATCTTAAATAGAAAATTATTTTACAATAGATTTTTACCCCAAAAGTTTTTTATTAAAATAAATACGATAAAAATAAAAAAAAATCCGATTTAAATAAAAAAAATCCGATTTAAATAAAAAAAATCTGATTTTTTAAAAAAAATCATTGATTTTTGTCCCCCCCTGATACTCACACATTTATTAAACACCATTAAAATGTGTTTTCTGGATTTCGATTGATAACTTTCATTCATACAAAATGATAGTCCTAGGAGATAACAACCTGTATAGGGAGGTCTCAATTAGTGCATATCACTAACGATAATGAAACCCATGAAATGGTTGCGTTATTCTAATTTGCGTTGACTTTGCTTGTCAGGGTTACAAAAGACAATCACTTGACCCCAGGGCACTGCAACGATCAGTTGCCAAGCATCTGAATTTTGATCATGTGGATGCTGCACCGATCATAAGGGTGGAAAAAAAGTCATAAGTCACTTTTTTCAGGGCTGTTTTATAGACCAAGACAAATCCAAAAACGCTAAGGAATTCCTGGAAGCTTGTCATTCAGCAAATCAGTCATCCATAGACACATAAAGATTAACCATATTTATACATATTCAAAAAAGTCAAGGAAAGAAAAAAATCCAGAGCACATTACTTTCCAGCAGCCAACACCAGATAAACAGGATTAACACCTAACAAGCAGAAAATAATCAAGGAAGCACCAAGGAGAAACCACATCCCCTTCAATACTGGCAAGGCATGGTGCTGTATATAAATAGAGAGCAACCCCACACTCATCAGCACTGGTATTACCTAGTCAGGTATTGAAATGTCTTCAAGCAAACATCCAAGCCCCAAAAGCACCAACAGACTCCCCAGTTACAGAGTAGTTGTAGAAAGCAAAATAGGAACAAAAACATTCTAAATATTATTTCTAAAGATAATGTTACACCGACAAAAATATCTTTATTATCTTTTAAAGTATTTGAAAGTAGTGGTGGTGGTGGTTTTGCTTTTTAATGGATTATAACCTGCCATGAGATCAAGGTAAATCTCATGAATATTTAAAATAAGTAAATCAAATGAACAAAGGACAAGCTGGAGGATAAACTCATATCCAAACTATACCTGCTTCTCCTATATTCTGCACTAGTTTTGAACACCCATTTGATTAGTGTCTAGTATCCCAATAGCAACTACGCATGCGCTAGCCTCAAATGTGTGTACACTGCAGTAACTGAATTCTGTCTTGCATTAAATATGATCTGGTATCAATTTATAATTCACACTGAATCGAACATTGCACTCTTCAAGCTTCAAATAATCACAACCGGTCTATATATGAAGTTTCTTAGCAACATTGTAGGATACTGCTGGTTTTGTACAATTCCTACAATTTCCTATAATTCCTACTCCTGGTACAATTAATTTCCTCTTGTTGAAGCATTTTGGCAAAAAGTTCCGTGGTCATAAATTAAAATGTCCCAAAGATGGTTTTTCAAGAGGCAACTGGACTTTCTGGTTCTTCTTTGAATACGTTTCACTTCCAAGAAGCTTCTTCTTGGTGGTCAAAGAAAAATCAGAAAGTCCAGTTGACTCTTGAAAAAGCACTTTTGGGACAACCATGACCTAGATGACTGAGAATCTCCATAAACACTCATAGATTAAAATATTGAACATCTTGTTATATCCACCAGAAGTCAAGCTCAACACAACGGTTTTTGTTTTTTAGATTAGATGCGATCTGTACAAGGAGCCTCTATTTTACAACTATTTACATAGAGAGGATTTGAATAAATTTTCCTAAAATTGATCCTTAAAAATAATTTCTGTTCTAGAAAACCTAATGAGACCTCTTGTGAACTATGGAATTTCATGGTAAGCCCTTTATCTTTGTTTCTATTTACTTTTTATATTTTATTGTTGGTATCATGTCTGAATGTTGGAAAAATGCCTTTGATTCTAGTATGTCTATGGGTTTCTTGGTGGAAGAGACTGCACCAATTGTCTGGAGAGGACTCATGGTAATGTCAGCTATAGAGAAATTACTGAGACAGGTAAAACATGTTTTAAGTTAACTTCATTGGTGATAATAACCCTACAATAAAACAATTTCTAACCATGTTTATATCAAATGCATTGTCAATGTTTTAATACAGTATGGAAGGCTTGAAAACATAATAGCAAAACATTTTACTTTGTTAGCAAATATATAATTCAATATTTAAAATTAAACTTAATGAAACTGCCCTCGAACTTTCTGCAGATCTTGGCTTCAGATGGAATGAATATAGCAGCTCATTAACACTTTTAGATACTAATCTGCAACACAGAAATGGAATTTTCATAGCTATAAGGAAAGGCAAGGAAAGCATATGTTTTGACTGCAGAAGTTTTTTTTTTAAATTATTAAATCTCTGAGATCTGTTGGTAGCTCTAGGAAATACTTCTGCCTGAAATCCCAGAAAGTTTCTGACAGTCATTATAAGCCAGTCTTCCTCCTCATGACACTTTTCAAATGTATTGGATCTACAGCAATCATATCTATATAATCTTTCTTCCTGTCTCGCAATAGTTGTCTGATATTTTTCTGAACTGCAGATGAAAAGTTTGACCTTTCTGACACCTTATTTTGAATGTGTCCACCCCTAATAAAGAAATTGTATCTGACATCATAGAATTTAGGCTTTTTCATCCTATAAGTGAAGTGCAGTAATAAAACTCAACATCTGATGACAAAACATATAATATTTAATATTACTAGCCATTATGGAAGAAAGTGGAAGACATTAATGGTACTATCTTCAACTGTTGAAATGCTGTCAGCTTTAATTTATTCAAAAATCTTAAAGATAAGATCTTTCAGTATATTGCTAAAAGTAATCTTTTATGGCAATTACTTATGACAGAAGGAAAAAAAACCCTAAATTGCACAAACAGTGGTGAGTTCTTCTCTTTCTCTCGTTTGATTCCTCTCTGGAGCCCTCCCAATCTTTTGCAGAACTTCCAAAGAAAATTAAGGGGTTATGAAAGGAGCTGCAGGAACAATGGAGAACTTCCATTTTCCTGGTTCCATTAACATGCCCTTCTACAGCCAGAGTGTCCTTTCGATATACCGTATTTTCCGGTGTATAAGATGACTTTTTAACACATAAAAATCTTCTCAAAAGTCGGGGGTCATCTTATATGCCGGGTGTCGTTCTCCTGTAACCAGGCAGACCAGCCCGAAAGGCTCTGACGAGCCTTAAATGGCTCTGGTGATCCAAGCTCTGACGATCTGCTAATCAGGCAACTCAGCTGGGATTGCCAGAGCCATGTAAAAGGAAAAAACTTTTTTTCTTTCACATGGCTCTGGCGATCCAAGCTCTGACGATCTGCTAATCAGGCAACTCAGCTGGGATCGCCAGAGCCATGTAAAAGGAAAAAAGTTTTCCCCCTCCAGCTTGCTTACCTTAGCTGCTAGTCGCTGGGATCGCCAGAGCCATGTAAAAGGAAAAAAGTTTTCCCCCTCCAGCTTGCTTACCTTAGCTGCTAGTCGCAACGCTTGCCTTGCTTCGCTTGCCTGAATCCATTCCATCAGCAAGCCACTCCCTGCCCTGCAAGCAGGCAGGGAGTTGTAGACTTCAACTCCCAGAATTCCTCAGCCAGCAAAACAAAACTGGCTGAGGAATTCTGGGAGTTGAAGTCTACAAGTCTTAAAGTTGCCAAGGTTGGAGACCCCTGTTCTATTGGGTAAGGTTAATAGTTAATTGGGGTTATTTTTAGTTGTTCTTTTTTAGACCTAGCCATTTAAAGTTTAGGAAGTTTTAAATTTAGCTTTCATATAAAAATAAAATAAAATAAAATAATATTTGTGCACCTTTCTGAGATTTAATGTGTTTTTGTAGTGTTTCACTCTAACTACACAAACACACAAAATTTCACAAAGCTGTATGTGGAATTTTGTGTGTATAAAGTGTGAAAGTTGGGTTTTTGGGCTTTTTGTGGCTGTGTGAGGTTCCTGCTTGTTGCAGGGGCCATTTTGGGTCTAGCACAGCTGCTTTTATATTGTGGGTGAGCCAGTTGTGTTGTGTTATGTGGGTGTAAAGTGTGAAAGTTGTTTTTTTTGGGCTTTTTGTGGCTGTGTGAGGTTCCTGCTTGTTGCAGGGCCATTTTGGGTCTAGCACAGCTGCTTTTACATTGTGGGTGAGCCAGTTGTGTTGTGTTATGTGGGTGTAAAGTGTGAAAGTTGTTTTTTTTGGGCTTTTTGTGCTGTGTGAGGTTCCTGCTTGTTGCAGGGGCCATTTTGGGTCTAGCATAGCTGCTTTTACATTGTGGGTGAACCAGTTGATGTTTTTTAATTTTTATTTGGTGTGCGTTGGAAGAGGGGTAGTCTTATACGGCGAGTATAACCCAAACCCTATATTTTAACAGGAAAATTCGGGGGTCGTCTTATATGCCCAGTCGTCTTATACGCCAGAAAATACGGTATAAGTAGGTCCCAATTAGTGGGGTTAATGAAACCTATGAAATGGTTGCATTATTCAAATTCACATTATTTAAAGTGATATTTCAATGGAAAATAGGATAATTGGTTCCAGCTTGACAAAAATAGGCAATAAAAATTTTTAAACATAAATTTTTATGTCTCTTAATGAAGTGCTGTGTAACAGTAAAAGAGGACAAACCCATAAACAAAGCGTACTTGCTATCTTCTGTATTCTGCTGTAGCTCTTCAAAATAAACTTTTTTGAGTTTTCTCCCAACAGAATCTTCTTTTCTGTTTTGCACAAATGACAATTAGCGTCTAAACCCCAAGAGCAACTGTGGCATGTGCTAGCCTCAATACATGTATGGTAGCTTTCCAGTAGCTGAATCTTGGCCCACAACTTGTTATCAATTTATAAATCACACTAAATCAAATATTGTGCTGTTTGAAACTCTCACTAATCATTGCCTACATACATAGATGTCAATTCCCCAGTAATCCTAAACCGCAGCAATAGTTATGCTGGCTGGGTAATTCTGAAGGGCACCAAATTGGAAAAAGGTTTCACTAATGGAAGAACTTCAAGCAGTGAAAACAGAACATTTGATTCCAATTATAAATGTTTTTAATATACTTGACAGGGTTGGAGTGGACCTGATTACATATGGCAGTATTCTGAAGTCAGAATCAAAATGTAGATTTGGGTGCTAATGTTAGCGCTTACTTTTCTAAGGAGACCAAGGATTAATTGATTATAGGAAGAGACGTGGGATGATGTTTGAGGAACTGCAATATTACTTTAGTCAATGGGATTCCCAATTGGGAAGCAGATGGCAGTTTCTTCTCGCGCATTTGATAATGATATATACTGAGTCTGTTGTTACCTAGCAACTAAAAAATAGTTTTACTCTACACATCTAGAAGCAAAAAGAAATATAGTCCCTTGACATAAGGGCCATTAATGATTTTCCCATAGTGATTGCAGAAAGCTTTAATGAGGACTTTCCCTCTAATCAGGCTTTTTTCCTCTTTTGTGTATAAACTAGGATTTTTTAAATAGTATCTCAGGACAATTTGGGTACCTTTATCAGCTTGCCTGAAGATCCAAGAAAGAAGATAAAATCTGTTATAGCATTAGGTTTTATTACCAGACAATTGATACCATTCACTACACTACTTTTAAAGAGTTATAAATATTACTTGTAGCAATAGTTTGTTACCAATGATTTGTTTATTAATTTTCTGATCAGAGTATGGTATTGTGTAATGAGTATTTATTCAGACATCCTAGGCATTAGTTTAAATAAATCATTTTGTTTCAGTTTGATTCTAAATCTCTCCCCACCTTTTGTCATGGATCAGATTAGGATTAGAGCTGTTTTCATTGTTTTATTCTAAACATTTTTGTGGATGTTAACCTCCTGTCCGTCTATTTGATTTGGAGGAAATGGTTCCTACTCCTCTTTTCCTAAATATCTTAAATTGCTTCCTTAATCTTGGTTCATGATATAATACATTGAGTTTAAAAGGCTTCAAGACATTGAGACATGCATTTGAAAAATAAAGATGTAAAAAAAAATTAAGTCAGTCAGACATAATATATTTAATGCATTTTATTGCAACCAATAGTAAAAGAGGTTTATAGTTCCCCAAATGAAATAAAACTTCAATGTACAATGTGTTCTTTACATTGTTTTGAAATATAAACCTTTCTTATAATCGAGTATCACAGAACATTATCAAGCATGGCAACCAAATTGGGTAATATAGATTTTCTCAAGACATCAGAGATTTAATTTAATTGTACTCTTCCCAAACAGCAGAAAAATGTGTAGCAATGAATTAGATGTTGCTCTTTTGTTCCCAAGATGTTGGCATAGCAGTAATATGTAAATCTTTGTCATAGACAGCACATTTTAATTGGATCTCAGTTTTAAGTAAGTGTTAGAGTTTGAGAGCTGCGCTTTTGATTTCGCTAAGTGTTTGGAACAGACATCATGCACATAACTGCTGTGCACTGTTACATTTCTGCAATTGCAATTTGTACAATGTTCAGTTTGCTTTTAGTATTTTTCAGGCTAGATAATAATCATTGTTCAGCACTAAGAATCTTATATATTTACAAGCTATTACTAAAATACAGTACTGAGACAGAACAAATCAAACATTGCAAGATACAATGGATGCCGAATTTCAAAGCAATCAGAGTGGATCAATGAAGGAGTTGTAAGAAAAAAATAATAAAATTTGCTCCAAGTTATACTTTAAGGGAAAAGCTAGTATAAAATGTTCCACAGATGGTATATAACTATTGACAATTGCCAAGACTGATAAATTATTTATTTTCTTATTATTGTTTATCAAATAAATACAAAAAGTATTACAGTAAAGACAAAACATTCTATTCTATCATATGTGATGCTTATGCAAAAGAAGTCAGAAGTATTGGAAAGAAACATCAAAACGTTTAGGGAATTTTGAAATTGAATTGAAACCAGAAATATTTTTTATTACTAATGATTAACAGAGAGTATAAATGAAAAGTATCACAATTTATTGGGATATATACTGATGATGGCAAGAATAAATTTATCAAACAATCAATTCATTAAACACATTTATTTTGAAGAAGAAGCTTATGCTTTTAATCCTTCCATGGTTGAACTGGACAGGAAATAAGCAGACAAATCATAGACTTCTCTAGAAGTGTTTCTAGTACTAAACTCTGGCCTAACATTCACGGTGATTTGGTGTCCATATTTAATTGGAACGCTCCAGGAAAATGTTAGTTAATTAAGAAAAAAATCCTATTTTAAAATACATTATTATTATCAAAACAGTATGCAAAGGGTTTATTTATTCTTTAAATAATACAATGCAAAAATTGTGTCCTAATATTGCTTCTTTGTAATATCCTCATTCACAGTTGGGCCTGGAATTGATATTATATGAATAATTACATATGCCACATAAATTTCCTGATGGATTAGAACAATTTACAGAAAAACTTTAGTGATGTGTTTGAATAGAGGAAAAATACTATATATAGAGCTGCCTGGCAACGAATGATGTTTCTCCATCAATAAATGTCAGGAAAATTATTCCTAGAGAAGAAAATACGTATAATATACTTAAGTAAAATGTAGTCACATTCCCAGCATCTGAAATGTTTCACAACACTATATATTAAAGAAGCAAATATTATAGTGTTTTCCACATATGCATGTTGACTAGCAGATGGTGGATACTACAGGTGTAATTTTATAACCACACTCACTTGTTCATTTGCAAGGAATAATTCCTGTGGCGGCAGTGTTTTCTTAATTTGAGAGAATTTATTCTTGAGGCAATATTTTAATAGCATGACATACATATATGGGTACACTTCTGAAAAGGTTAGGAGGATAAGGACTAATCATTTCATGTTTTGTAGAATGTTGCTTATGAATATGTCTTACATACAATATTGAATTTTTTTTCCTGAAATTATTTTTAGATAAAGGATTTTATTCATTCAAGTTTTCTTCAACTTGAGGGTAGCATTTAATTTAATATGAGACTTGGGGAAAGCAATGAGGATGCCTCACAAGTCACCCTGTTCCTCAAAAGTTGCAGTATTTGTCTCATGGTCTCCAGAGTACCTTCAATTCAGGCATTTCACATCAGTCCCATTAGGTGGCTGGACCAAGAAATCACAGGACCGTTAAAATTACTTTTACTGTGATTGATTATAATAACACAGTTTTGCAAGTCTGATTGTACTGTACCACCTTCCTTTTTTATATTCCTGTTAAATAGGAAGGTTTCTCTTTGAGCTTCTTCCTAAAATTATCTGCCTGTTGCTTACGATATGTGTTGCCTCTCATTGCTTTGGTAACCCAACTTTCATATCTCCATCAAGATCATCTTCTTTATTCTCTATATTAATAGCACAAAACAACGTAATCTATAGTTACCTTCTATAATATATAGAAGGCTGTGTGATGCGCAAAGGTGGTGTGGACGAGCGAAGCGCGTGCACATGCTCACATTTGCGAACCAGTAGGGAAGGTAAGTGAATCCCACCTCTGCCTATGACACTTAATCACAAAATTGAATGGGAAGCAATGGATGGAAACTAATCAAGGAGAGAAGCAACTTAGAACTAAGAAGAAATTTCCTGACAGTTAGAACAATTAATCAGTGGAACAACTTGCCTCTAGAAGTTGTGAATGCTCCAACACTGGAAGTTTTTAAGATGATGTTGGATAACCATTTGTCTGAAGTGGTGTAGGGTTTCTTGCCTAAGCAGGGGGTTGGACTAGAAGATCTACAAGGTCCCTTCCAACTCTGCTATTCTATTCTATTCTATTCTATTCTATTCTATTCTATTCTATTCTTATCTATTCTATTCTATTCTATTCTATTCTATTCTATTCTATTCTATCTATCCTATCCTATCCTATCCTATCCTATCCTATCCTATCCTATCCTATCCTATCCTATCCTTCCCTATCCCCTATGCCCTATCCCCTATCCCCTTTCCCTAGCCTATTTACCAGAGTAAATGGTAAATTGGTGAGCCTCTCATTTCACTGTGACAGTGTTGTAAAATATCTCTCTACTGATCAAACTTATAGATATATGATCACATATATTTCACTGAGTGACAGTGTTGTAAAATATCTCTCTACTGATCAAACGTATAGATATATGATCACATAGGCAATAGGGACAGGAAGACCTCTCACAGTTCTGCCTCTTCTGCAAATTGGACCTGTAAGCCATTCATGCTGGTTGACAACTGCAAGTAGGCTTTTTCAAATATGGGTTTCAAATCATGGCTTTAAAGACAAAACTCTCCAAAACTTAAGAATGATAGTGGAATACATTGTTAGTGTGTATTACCCTTGCTGGTTCAACATCAAAGTAAAAGATTCCTGGGTTGAAGGCCCACGTCATGTGTTGTTCCAGCTGCAGCAAGTCAGACTGCAAAAGAAGGCTGTAGTAGATGCTGTTTTGCCAACCATTCAGTGCTCAGCACTTTCAGTGAAATGATAATCTAGACACTCTTGTGTTCAGATGACATTCAAGAGAGGACAGCTGGTGTGCAAAAGATCATTGACTTGAGGGGTGCAGATGATGATGTGCTGGGAGATTTTTCTGTACATGCAAGAAAAATGCCTTTAATCGATGTCAGAACACCCACTCTGCTGGAGCTGATTGACTGGTCTGAATATGAACCACCTTTGACATGCAAACTGACTGCAGCGGAAATAAAGAAGTTAATTGACGAACCAGTGCAAGTACCACAATGGCCCTGTCATGCCCAATCAATAGAGAGATGTGTGAAACAGGTCACAGAGGCAGCAAGCACAGTGTATACACATGAGAAACATGAGGGTTATATCAGAGGCCAAGAAGCAAGTCAGCAGCTGATGTTGAAGAACGAATCAGAACAAGACTTGATGAAACTCACTTAACATTTTTGTAACTCAGATAATGATGTTAGTTTATGATTGCATGGATTTTTTGCTTAATTAGATAAGATAAATGCAGAAAAAACCTTTAATATTTGTAGCACAAGGTGTCATTTTGAGAAGATAAAGTTAACAGCATTTGGCTTACAAGTGACTTGTGGAGTATATGATCAGACATGGATTTACCATACCAAGCTAAACGTTGTGCAATTACAAAAATAACAGCTGATTTCAATTCTTTTAGAACCCCTCACTAAAAAAAATTGCAACAATTATTGTTTACCCCATTAAATGACACGCCCTACCAATAGTTTATTTAAACTATTTTGTGATGGTGCAAACAGCTGGTGAGTCACTAAGTTTCTTGGTAGTCCTGATATTCAAGTTTTATGGTGCTCTAGAACCATGATGGTGAACCTTTGGCACGCAGAGCCATCTCTGTGGGCACGTGCGCCATCACCAGCTGCTCTTCTGCTCTTCTCATCTTTGCGCGTGCCGGAGCCCCAGAAACCCAAAGACCACCTGGTCTTTGAGTTTCTGGGGCTCTGACATGCATGCGCGCGCTCACACAAATGCATTCCAGTTTGGGCACTGGGTGCCAAAAAGGTTCACAATCACTGCTCTAGAATCACAAGATGGTTATTCCTGTGATTTAATATATCAAGGATTATGTTTTCCGAATTGGCATTTCATTAGAGTATTACATGTATCTTAAATAAGACATTGTATTTTACTAGAGACATGCATTTATTGCATGGTAATTCAGATTTTTTGAGAATGTTTCACTAGGGACCAAGCCATATACAAACTGGTCTAATCTTTTCTGTCAGCAGGACTTTTACAATAACAGGCAAAGATATAACTGTCTGTAGTTTGTTGCCTGCATCATCCAAGCCAGCGTTTGAGGCTTATTTTAACTTAGATGCAACTGGCTGCTATTTTCTATTTTTGAGCACATAATTTGAAAATCTGACTTGATTATTGATTAATATCAAGAAGTTGTGAATGATCATCCATAACATTGCCTAGAGCCACTTGTCTGAGATGACAGCTATGAACTTGAATAAATAAATAGAAACATGTTAACTGATTATTTCACAAAAAAAGATTCTTAAACTGACCTACTTTCATAATGCAAAAAAAAAAAACCACTAAAGAAAAAGTTTAAATCTAAATGACCCTGTCAAGGTTTTGACTGACGAACCCAACAAAAAGCAAGCACGGCTGTCTGCTCAGATTCCTCCAGCCATCCCTTCGACCAGGTCACCACTGTTTGCGTGCTGAAATCCACCTGTGCAGCAGCCGGGGTCTCTTTCACCGTGGCTGTCCCAGGCTTGGCTGTCTGCTCTCCTTTATGTTTCATCCTGGACATCTTCTACTGGGTTTTCACAGCTCTTCTGGAGGTGACCGGAGAGGCTGCAGGAGCCCAAGACTCCTTTGTAGATTTTAATTTTGGTAGAGCTGGTTTAATGTCAAGGTTCTAACTAACAAACCCAACCAAGCAAGCACTGTTGAACGATCCAATCTCTTTATACAAAACTTTACTGCGTGCTTTCATTCTGTACCAAAATGATGTATTCAATAAAGTTTTGCATAAAGAGATTGGATTGTCTCAACAGTGCTTGGTTGGATTCGTCAGTCGGAACCTTGACAGACCCACTGGAATTGTAAGGAATAGAGTGAATCAGCTGCCACGATTAACAGAAGCACTAAGATTACAAGGAGAGTTTCCTTATGCTCCCTATGTGGGTTTGTTGCGCTCTGGTATTTTATCATTGATCAGTCTAATTGACATCTAAGTAGTAGTCCTTTTCTCTCTCTTGCTCCAGCACTATTACTCATTTCTTTTTGGCTCATTTTAATAATAATTTGTGATGTTGATTCCAAGCAATAGAATTTACTTACAAGTTATCTCCAAAGATGTTAAAAACTACAGGAAGTTTGACCTCAATGTTTAAGGTGATCCCCCCCCCCTAATTTATTTAAACCTTTTCTAGGTTGACTGGCACGAACTGGATTATCTGATTATTGACATGCCACCAGGGACAGGAGATATTCAGCTGTCAATCTCACAGAATATTCCAGTTGCAGGTATCGTTGGTAGTTTTGCAACGTGGTGTAAGCAGTGCAACTGGGTGCATTTGAATTACATGGCTGGAGACAAAGGTTTTGTTTGGAATCCGTGAGGTTGCTCCTCTTTCATAAATGTTGCCTTTGCTCACCATAATCTATGCTTAAAAACCACTGCATGACTTTGAGGCAGATGAATCCTTCACCTCTTGTTGCTTTTTTTTTTAGAACTTCATTGGTTTAAAAAAAGATACAAAGTTAAAAGATAAACAAATGGCAATAGAAAATTAGAAAAAGAAGTCGGCTTACCAAGGATATAAAGCTGAAAAAATGTTTTGGGTTACATTTCTAGGTAGAGCAATATCTCAAGTCATAGCTGCTCATTTGAAAGCTCAAAATGTTTTCATATTCATACCTCCTCCAGTGTTTTGGGAAGAAGAGTTTAATTCTTGCTCTTCAGTGAGATTGTTCTATATTTGACCCCCCCCACCCCATAAATGTTGAGAGAATCACTATAGGAGATAGAGTTTGGGCAGGATAAAATGTTTTGCTGTAAAGTATTTTTTAATCCACTAAATAAATAAAAAAACAGAAGAAACAAATATTTTAAAAAGGATATTTGCAGACACTCACATATAGAAATATTAAAGTTCATCTATATGCATCTTTATGAATGACTTCTGCAAAACACTAAATAGTTGGAATCATATGTTTCTGTTTCCACTGCTGAACAATATTTTGATTATATGTTCATTTTCCCTCTCCAAAGTCCCATATCATTGAGATAAATTGTATCTCAAAATGTTGAGTTAATACATGTGATCATTTTCAAAATGAGGCAATATATTTAAGTAAAACATTACTTTCATTGCATTTCAACAAAATAAATACAAAATAGCCATTTCTAAAATACTTTTTCTTATTAAAAATGATCTATCTAAAAAACTGCTAAATTTTCTGTTTTTTTAAAACATGTTTCTTCTTTTTCATTAGGTAAATTTTAAAAAGCAACTAAAGACCCTCTTCCACAAAAACTGTTTTTGGAGTTGGGTGAATTCTTGAAGCAAATGTCATTTAGGGCTGAAAGAATCAAGGAAATTAGTCATAATTGGCTACTCTGATACATGTGAATGGAAACACTGTTTCTAAAGCATAACCATCATTAATCTTTAATTAGAGATCTATTTTCTGAGCCTATTAAAGATTCTTTTAGGAATTGAAGTACCTGAATGAAACAAAACAATATTGATTTTTCCTGGTGTTTCTTTCTTTTTAGGGGCTGTAATTGTGTCCACTCCACAGGATATAGCTTTATTGGATGCACATAAAGGCGCTGAGATGTTCAGGAAAGTGAATGTGCCAGTAAGTACATCTTATTTGACTCTGCTAGATTATGGATATATATTTAAATTAGAAATGGGCAACCTATTTCAGCAAGATACATTTTTGAAATAATTTAAAAATTATTCCTAATATCCTAGAAAACTCTGATATATAAGCATTGGTATTGAAATTATTTGATTGCCAATTAAGCTTAACTGATATTATTTAGCTTTGATTACATTGTACACTAGTACTGTCCTTGGTGTAGCCTTCCTTACTATGAAAGTAATGCCATTTGTTTTCTGTGTGCGTGTGTCTTGAGTAATAAATTTCTGATCTTTTGACTGAAAGTGTCCAGTCAAATTCAATCAAACCCATTTCAGTTCAGTGATGCCTAAGATGCCAGATTTACAGTAGTCAATTCATTTAGTCTTTTCACTGCTTTGGATTTTCCCACATTTCTAATTCTTATATTCCAAATCTCCATTATAATTTTTTTCTTTGCAGTTTTGGATTTTCTTTTCTTATATGGTAGTACAAGTAATTAGACTTCCCAAAGGCTTCAATATAACCACATCATAAACATCAATACTACTCCCAAAAATCCTGAGCTCATCTTTAGTAGACTTAGTAGACTGTTGAGTACTAACCTACTGGAGGGGCCCATCATCCACGCTATCAATGACTTTACATTGATATCCGCATGGTTTCTTCAGTGAAGGAGTATTTTTATCATTGCCTTCTCCTGCCACAGCATGACATGATGCCTTTGCTATTGTAATTAAAATGATCAGACACCTCTAGCATCTTCCTGTATCATTGTTTTTATTTATTTATTTATATGCCGCCCTTCTCCGGAGACTCAGGGCGGCTTACAATGCGTTAAGCAATAGTCTTCATACTTTTGTATATTTTATACAAAGTCAGCTTATTGCCCCCACAAACTGGGTCCTCATTTTACCTACCTTAGAAAGGATGGAAGGCTGAGTCAACCTTGAGCCTGGTGAGAATTGAACTCGCAGTAATTGCAGGCAGCTGGAAGCTAAATACTACCTTTAACAGTAGCATTAGTCTGCTGCGCCACTCAGGCTCATTGTTGCCTGATAAAGGTTCCTGATTGTTTTAGATGGGCACTTAAAAATAATCTTCATGACTTGATTGATGCCTTGGATTATGTATTCTAGATCTACACTTCCCATGTTTTTTGCTCATTCTTCCCAAGAACATCTAAACATAATAAGATAGCCCAGAAAATCATGAGATAGATAATGGTTCCATACTCAGCTTGTTTTTTGTATTAGAATCCCAGTGCCAAAATATAGAAAACCTGTTTTACATATATGAGTTTAATGTAGTTTATAGCTTTAGCAGACAGATAGTGCAAACAAAAATGTAGCCAGAAATCAGCCAAGAGTTTTTCTGTGTATGTTGTTTTTTTGTAATGTCACATGAAAGTTCTATTAAGCTGCTTATTCTTTGGAAGTCAGATCTGGGAATAGAATTATTAAAATTGAAGCCAATTCAGGCAAAGGAAGAGGAAACAAAGGAATTGTTTGTCGCAGGACTCCAGGACTGAATTCTTAGTTCCTTATAATGATTACCCTGCTACACAGAGAAGACGGCAAAAACACTGACAACTTTGTAGCCCAACAGCCAGCCTGGTAGTGAGCCAGCAGCAGCTGCTCAAAGAGCAGAGTCAGGCTGAGTGGGGCACAGTGGCTTATTAATCACACTTGGCAAGGGAGGGAGTTAGGTGAGCTAATGACTGAGTGACCACCTCATATATTGTTCATGGTGGCCTTCTTTGCATTGACACTAAATCTGTGCTACAAGTCATCAGTGCCAGTATACACATGCAGAGTTTAAGAGAGTATAGTCTGGTGATGTTACTTGAAATCTCTCTTCTGTTTCAGTCATACATTTATTTCCCTAACATCTCATTCTGAGCAATGTTTCTGCATTTCTTGCATCAACTACATAGCCCTACAAGATACCCATGGTCCACAGTCTGGGAGCCAGTGATTTTCAGAGAATTCAGATAGCCTACCCCAACCTTTTGACAATTTTCTGTAATATCAGTATACTGAAAATGCAAATCACTCCATATGCTATATACTGTCAAAAAATCACTGTAGTTTGGTAACAAAATGTTTGAATATTAATTTGTGAATTTTTAACAGTTCATCAAAATGTCATGTAACTATAGCCATATTTAGAATGGAAGCAATTGCAATTCTATTAATGTTTTGTCCTCCTTTAATATTCCTGCTGTTGTCATACCAGTTTGTCTCATCACATCAGATGTTCACGCCTTTGCAAATAGTCATCTACTAATTAAATGTTTTTGCTACATCACATGCCATAGAAATTTTGCTGGGCAGTGTGCTTTTTGCAGTCTGTTTTTGTCAAGAAGACCCCATGTCCTATGTCAATCTAGGCTTTTAGGCGTAGTAAACTACTTGGCTGGACTTTCACCATAAGGGAATAGCCATTGGCCAGTCTGTGTACTTTTCATGCCAAAGGTCCATGTTCATTCTATGACATCTCAAGGAAAAGTTAGGAGAAATGTTTGCCTAAAACCAATCACAAAGTTTGTTCCAAATTGTAGACCTCTAAGTCTCTTTTATCCATAATTTTTATACTATAAGTATACCTGAGGGATTGTGAAGCCATAGAGAAATATCTGTGCATTTATAAGCAAGATCATTTTTCCACTGCACAACTATTGATAATACTAATCTCACATAGAGATGTTGGCCATTTAAAAAACCAAACAGATATTCTGGTTTGTTCCAAGTCTAGGGAATAAATGTTGCTGAATATTATAAAATATGGTAGCAAATAAATAAAATAGTTTGACAAATTAATTGTGAATGTGGTCTTTAGAATCCTAAATGCACTGAAGTAAAAATTAGGCTGAAATTCATATGTGCATCAATATGTCAAAAAATGTATGTTTCTTTGGAATTAGTATTGAGAATATTAAGCAAATGAGGATTTAAACATTAAGTTTGAATGCCATTTTAAAGTTGGAATTAAAAAAGCATCCTTAGGGACTCAAGTTATCACTCCAATAGTAAGGTGGTGTGGAAACTAAAAGCTATCTTCAGGCCTAGTGCTTTCTTTTTTTAAAATTTTTTATTTATTTCTTTACAACAAAATATTTATTCACACACAGATCGCGACGGAGCTTTACACAGTATATTAACTTCAGTCAAGATATACAAATAAAAAAATAAAATCTACACTAACCTTATCCTTTTTTTATTCTATTATTCAACCAGATATACCATTGGTCCCAACATTGAAAATATACAGAATCCTTTTGATCTCTCAGAATTTTTGTTAACCTGTCAGCTTCCGCATATTCGATAATTTTTCCCAAAATCAAATCTTCAGCCAGTAGGTCTTTCCCCTTCCAATGTTGAGCAAAACATATTCTTGCTGCGGTTGTGATATATGTAATAAGACACCATATATTTGTGCCTATCTTATCTGGCCTAATATTTAATAGATAATATTCTGGTTTCAATTGTAATTTATATCCCGTGATTTCTAATATCCACCTCTGTATAAATCTCCAAAATTCGATTACCTTAGGGCAGGTCCACCATACGTGATAGTAAGTATCTATCTCCCCACACTTCCAACAGTTTGGGGAGAGTCCTGGGAACGTTTTGGCTAATCGAGCAGGAGGGAGATGTTCAGGCCTAGTGCTTTCAATCTTTGCCTTTAGTACACAAAAAATGTGGTTTGCCTGCTGAAAAACCCTGATGATAAAAGAAAAAAGTAGAAAGGGTCCTTCAATATTATATATTCTTAATAGTGAGTTCACCCCTGGATATATATTGCTCCAGATGTCATACGAAAAATAAACCTATATTAGAAATACTGGAAAATTTAAATTGACAGCACATGATAGTATGCTAGATTGGAATGTGACCCAAAATATGATGTGTTTTTTACTCATACAAAGGAGAAAAGGAGGGAACAGTTTTATTCCCAATTCTATTAAACAGTTTTCATATTATTATATGAAATACATCAGGAAAAATGGCAATAATTATATCTAGAAAAGTGAGTGATGTAAAAATCTAATACAAATAAAAAATGAAAATGTGCACTAAAATAATCTTCAGAGAGAAATGAAAATAACATTCTTTCTAATGAAATGTATAAACTGCTTCAGCCTCAAGAACTCATGTAATATTATTGCTTTTTGATTTTGTATTTTATGGTTTAATTTTTATTGTTATATAGCTGTAATTATATCATTTTATGTTTTATTCTTATGATGGTAACCCACCAAGAGGTTCTTAATTGTGGCAGGCAAATACAAACAAACAAACAAACTGAATACATAAATATAGCCCAGGCGATAAACACTGGCAATAAATTTAGTGCAAAATACAGTAAGATCTTGATTCTCCGGCATGATGCCTGGGGCCATAATGTGTCCCCTGCCATGTTTTTGGTACTCAACTTTTTTTCCTTTAAAAAAAGGGGGGGAGTCTGCTTGATGCAAATTAAAACAAAATCAAGCAAAACATAGAATTCCAATCTGTGCCCTCATACAGCCTCAAAACATTTTTAGAAAATAAATGTGGGAAGATTGGAGCTCAGAACTTGCCTTCTGGTGAATGAGTGTTTGTAATTGACAGCACCTGCCAAGCAACCATTTTTTGAATATGCCCATTCATAACAATATAAATATGCTAATAATATTAATCTGGCGGACATACAGGAGTAAAGCAAGAGCTATGAACATTGACCTGTAGTGCCGGCAGTCATCATGCCTAATGTACTCACTAGCCCAAGGAGTTTGGGGAATCTTGTCCTAAAGTTTAGGATATCTAGAAGGTCTAATGTGTAAGCAGGCTTAATATAAATAAAATCAAGCAGAGCTGCAAAGCCATTCAGCATCAATGACATGAGAAATTATATATACACACAGAGAGACACCATAAGTAGCATATGTTCTATTTTATAATATTCCATAAGCAGAATACTAAGATTCCCAGTTTAAATAGTTCTCACAGTCTAAAATAGACAGTTGAGAAGATAACAGAAGGAGCAGCAGCTTTTTTCCTGGCTTTACGTTTTTGGAAAGATAATGCTACCCTACCCTAGTGTTGTTGAAACCCAAGCTTGATCACAGATCAAAATAGATCCCCCACCCCCCCTGCATGAAGCTTTCATCAGAACTAAGAAACAGAAGAAGCGATAACTTCTGTTGGCAGAGTTACGGGTATTTCTGAAGTTTAAAAAAATGAAAATAAAAGAAGATAGCATCATTACTGAATCAAGAAACTGCTTAATAAAAATCCATTAAAAGGCTGTTTATCTTTTCCAGTTCTGCACAGAATTACTCAGAGTATCTGGTATCTGGGACAGAATGTCCCTGAGAACAAAACAGAAGCCTCATTATGAAATAGCTAAGACTAAAAGTTAATGGGACCTCTCTAAAAGTTATGTTGCAAGGCAGTTACAAAGATTTGCACTCTCCTGGCTTTCATGCAAAAATGTAAGCCTTGTGCTGGACATGACAAATGTATCCTGTCTACTATCTTTGCCAATTAGGTGCCTTTAGGAATGCAGGACCTGAATAGTAGTGATATCTGTATTCTTTATTTGTGTTCTTCAGTAGCTGCTATTGACAAGCATAGTTTGATATTATTATGAAACTGTTCTAATTAATATTACTGGATGTTGTCTAATCCCTTTTTATATTGGTAGCTACTATTGGCATCCTATGGTAGTAGGTTCTGTGGTTACCAGATTTTTATAAATCCTTAATCTTTCACCATTCAATCCATATAAGAGCTGCCTGTTAATTCAATATTTATCAATTTATTAACCATTGTTTTGGTTTGAAGAGTCCATTTGAGAACTTTTCACCATTCTTTTTTCTTTTAAATACCCTTAATAATGTCTTCTAAGCAAATTTGTCCACCTCCTTCCTATCTTCCGCTTGATAATTGTGCTTTACCTATAAATAATAATGTATTTTTAAAAGGATTTTGAAAGCATAAACAATAATTGTGAAATCAATTCACCAACAAGACTTCGGGCATAGCTTTAATTGATCAAGTGGAGCTGTCTGATAATCTTAGCGTGCAATTACTTATAAATAATAATCATTTATCTGATGAATAATTAAATTTCATTACCAGATCTCCTAACCAGCTCTCGATCTCTCCACACAACTACTGTAAATCTTTTAATTTTTTTTTTGTTTCTGCTAAAATTTACCTGAAACTCAAATAATTTTTGGCAAGGTGGTGATGGCTTTGTGGAGCAGTAGATTTTGTCATTATTTCCTTTTCACCAATATGCAATCGTTTCACTGATGATTGATGACAAGGTGGATGGCTATTTACAAATAGCCTTCCCTCACATATCAAAGCACCATGGAAGGAGTGCAATTAGCATTTAATGTTATTTCCTGTTATGGGAAATGGAGAGTAAAAAAAATTGATTAATCTGGGACACAAAGGTTCAGAGTGGGGGTATGACTGAATATTTTTCCTTGTGTTTTTTTCCTATTGGACAGCCCAATATTCTCAATCTTTTAAGCTGGTGGATATGAAAGCAACAACTATTTGGCTTCAAATGCTTTAGAACAGGCCTGTCCAACCTAGGCAATTTTAAGACTTGTGGACTTCAAGTCTTAGAATTCCTCAGCCAACACATGGTAGCTGGGGAATTTGGGGCATTGAAATAGGTCTTAAGGTTGCCAAAGATGGACACCTCTGCTTTAGAAAGTTAGATGAATGGAAATGTTAGCTGTATAGAAATGCCTTAAAATCAGGGGTGAAATCAGGTGATTCGGAGAATCGGTAGCAAAAATCCCTGCCCCCCCTCCCCATTGCCCAGCTGAGCCGCACAATCATCAGAGGCTTTTTTTTACTTTTAAAAGCATTTTTTCTACAACCTCTTCGGCCGAAAAAATGCTTTTAAAAGTAAAAAAAAAAAAGCCTCTGATGGTCGCGCGGCTCAGCTGGGATCGTCAGAGTCTTTTGAAAGCATTTTTTTACAACCTCTTCGTGGAAGAGGTTGTAGAAAAAATGGTTTTAAAAGTAAAAAAAAAAAAAAAATGGCCACGCCCACCCAGTCACATTACTCCCTCACCAAGCCATGCCCACAGAACGGGTAGTAACAAATTTTAGATTTCACCACTGCTTAAAATGGTATGAATCATTCACATAAAAGGTTTCTTGAACAAATGCAACTTATTAAATGATAGCAACTATTTTGCTACTTAAAGTGCAGCTATGCCTAAAGTATTTTGCTGCTTTCTCCTAAAATTTATGTGAATGTGATAATAACCATTGATCTGTAAATACAGAATCCTTTGCAAAAGTTGAATATTTGCCTAATTTTGTCAGAGTCATATGAGCTAAGTTTGTTTCTGAAATCTTTGTATTTCCATGAATATGGAAACATGTTATTCAACCTAAGGTAGCGTGGAGGTGACAAAACTCGATCTGCAGTTTGAACATTGATGGGCCCAGGGAAGTTATATAAAGAAATCTGTCACCATAACTATTCTTCTGGTAATGTAAACCAAAATTATTTATAAGAATGATACTTGAAAAGCTAATTACAGAAGTTTGGCAAATAATGACTAATGTAAATAACATTCTTAAAGAACAAATAAACCAAGAAAGGTGTGTGTTGGGGAGTTAGATATGCATGGGACAGGATCAGGAAATCCCTCTAGAGATCCCTCTAGAGCAGGAGTATCCAACCTTGGCAACTTTAAGACATGTGGACTTCAACTCCCAGAATTCTGGGAGTTGAAATCCACAAGTCTTAAAAGTTGCGAAGATTGGATGCCCCTGCTTTAAAACGTCTAGGGTACTCAAGTCCAGTGGTGGGATTCAAATAATTTAACAACCGGTTCTCTGTCCTAATGATTTCTTCCAACAACCAGTTCACCAAACCGGTTCTCCTGAAGTGGTGTAAATTGGCTGAATCCCACCACTGCTCAAGTCTGATCTGAAAACCAGATGGAAATGTGTGTGGAAAAGTTTCCTTGCTGTATATATGACCAGTGCAGACTTACATAGCATTGTTTGCAGCCAGGGATATGCTTGACAGTTTTCACTGCTGTCATTTGTCCTGACCGTGAAAACCTGTTTTAAACAGGAAAGTGACTTGTCTCTGCCTAGGTGCATAGGCGCAATGCCAACTGTTTAAAACACCTCTACGTATGTGTGAATTATTGCCCCCCCCCATCAGTCATGCAGATGGCTGTTTACTGCTGCAAGTTGACTCAGATTTTGCATGCTAATTATATCTGTTATCTGTATTTTGATTTCCAGCTGAGAGAGAGGGAGAGAGTGTGAGAGAGGAAGGGAGAGGGAGGGGGGAGGGAGAGGGAGAGGGGAGAGAAGGAGAGAGTGTGAGAGAGGAAGGGAGAGGGAGGGAGAGAGGGAGAGAGCGGGAGCGAGGGAGAGAGAAAGAGAGGGAGAGGGAGGGGGAGAGAGGGGGAAGAAAGACAGAGACAGATAAAGATAGGGAGAGAGAGAGAGAGATTACATTGAAATTGTTATTGCCTTATGCTAGGTGGAACTGTATTAGTTATTGGCAAACTGCTTTCAAACCCATTGTTAGTTTTAACTCAACACTGAAAGGACTTCCTTCTCCTGAAGTTACTGCAGAAATGGGGGGGAAACATATTGAAGATGTAAATTATTGTCCCAACTTGTCAACCTCAGAGTTCTTTAGCAATGGTACTTCTCCCAACCTACTTCAGTGGGGAGAATCCCACATTTTCACCACTGCTTTTTGTGTACTGCAAGTTATGCATTTAAACATGTATTTTTATTATTTATCAATCTGTATTTATAGGTAGTCTTTGACTTCTAACCATTCATTTAGTGACCATTCAAAGTTTCAAAGACACTAAAAAAAGTGACTTATGACTGTTTTTCACAATTATGATGGTTGTAGCATCCCCACGATGATGATACCTGGCACCTGGCTCATATTTATGATGGTTGCAGTTTCCTAGGGTCATGTGATCACTTTTTGCGACCTTCTGACAGGCAAATCAATTGAAAAGCCAGATTCACTTAACAACCATGTTGCTAAGTTAACTGCAGTGATTCACTTAATAACTTTGGCAAGAAAAATCGTAAAATGCTGCAAAATGTACTTAACAACTGTCTCGTTTAGCAACGGAAATGTTGAGCTCAATTGTGGTGGTAAGTCAAGGATAGCCATAGTCTGCTATCTATCCAGATTTCCATCCATAAAATAACCAAGGTAAAACCAAAGCGCCAAGTAGAATAAATAATACTTAATTTAAACGACACGTTAATTATCACAGTAATGCTGTCCAAGGGGCACTTAAATGACAAAAGATATAATTAGCCTATGAGCACTAAGCTACAAATAGAAAATAATGTTTGCTCCCAGTTTGCACATACACTCCTTGAACCCAGGGAAGAGTACTCCAAAGCTCAGTTGCTAGTAGTACAGGGAAAGCTTTTCAAGGTATCTTCATATAGTTATGGGATGCTGACTATGTTCAAAGCCTTTATTGTCATTGTACATCATGTATACAACGAAATTGGCTATGATGATGATCTCCTTACAGACCTTAACATTCAGGGATGTACATTGTTCAGATGGGATCCTAACCCATTAAAGATTTCAATTTGCAATTCTAGCCACTAACCCTGATACACTGAGGTCAGTATTCCTTCTTTATTATAGATGGACAAATTGATGCCAAAGAAGGGATAGCCTCTATAAATCTTGACATTGAATGTGTAACAATTATAACACTTCCTGCTAACAATTCTGGGCAGTTTGATCAGTATGCCAGAAGTACATCCTAAACACAATTTTTTCTCCGATCAGGCACATGCAAGCGGGAATTTCTAATATAAAGAGTGTCTGGCAAGCCAGCTTACAATTGGCTGTATTTCTCTCTAGGAAGTACTGGCAGGCCTTGCTTACCAAGTAGTCATTCAGCAACTCTTTAAATTTGCTACTGTACTGAATGAATGGCACTTACAATTCGAAGTTCTGGCCTTGCACCACCCCTGTGACCACGTGATTGCAATTTGGGCATTTAGCAACCAGCTCACATTGACAGTTGTAATGCGCTATCATCCCTATTTGTGACCTTCCCTACCGGTTTCCCCCAAGCCAAGTCAATGGGGAAGCTGTCACAAATCATTCTGTTAAGTCCCCAGCTTCCCTTCCTTCACCTGGCATGGTATCCTGCTTCCCTTGACTTTTATTTGCTCTCTCACACAGCATGGCATTCTGCTTCCCCCAGCCTCACTTGGGCCATGTATTGTCTACGCCCACCCTATGGCATTCCCATGCTCCTTACCTGAGACTCTTGATGCTTTCTGGTTAATGAACCATATTCCCAAGGTTACAATGGTAACTGGGACTGCTGGGATTGTTGCTAAGGGATGTAGACACATGATGTCATGCTTTATGACCACATGCCTAGCAAGTACAAACCTAGTCCCAATTGCTATCATAATCCGAGAACTACCTATATATGCAGTATACTAACACATACTCAGAGCACATGTACTGTAGAACAGTTGTGTATAATAGACAATATTGGGGAAGGACTACCATGGATTTGCTTGGACTGACTTCAAAACCTTTTCCTGTTTTTTATTTTGTGTAGCAGGGATTAACATCCAATGTATGACCCAACATAATATATATAATAATTGTTCTTCATCATACATATATAGACATGTCAGATTTCTTGGAGTGTATTAGTCCATTGTTCTCTGTACTTGAATAAGAGGTCTAATAGTGCAAATACGCTTGTGTGTGTTGTAGGTGCTTTACTATAATCTAGACCTAGAAAAGTAGTAAACCAGGAGAATGTAATATTTCAGGTGAATAGGCTTAATATAAAGATTGAGTGCTGTTTTGTCTTTTCCTCCCAAAAATTTGGCAAAGGATAAACATTTTAGTCACCATTATCAGATAAGTTAGCTAGATTGCATATAACAGATTCTCTATGTTAATCCATTTACCATCTGAAACGCTACATCTAATATAAGTACTGTCAATAACGTGTCATTTTTATAGCTTAAATAATTAAGTTAATTGCTCTTCAAATGTGCTTTTGATTTGTAGAGAGAATAGAAAAGGCTGAGCTACCCTCCCCTTCGGAGTATCAGTGAATACACATTTTGAAGAGCAGAATTAATGTTGCTCCTGTTTTTCTTTTTCTTTCTCTTTTCTATTGCTTTAGGGGATTATTGGCTGCTGAAGAATCCGGGCTAATTTAATGAGCAATCAAATCAATAGATTTTGGCAACTCCTATATACAACAGTCTTAAAGATACAAATTTGGGGATAAATCCCATTGTACAGACCAGGACTTACTTCTAAATAAATGTCCATCTGACTAACTATTGTTTAAGGTCAGCCCATAAAAGACATTTCAATGATAGCTCACATACTGTCATTTGTTTTATAGTGTTCTGGACTTACAATTACTGATTTTTTTCCTTCCTGCTCAAATGAATTTTAATTTATAAACAGGGTGTTTCCAGAACTCTTAACCCTCCAAAGGAAACTGGCATTTCTCTAGAACTGTTGATCAAGAAATTCTGGCAAATGAATACTTTTTTTTTCTGACTAGGATATATTTCTGGCTTTATTTTGATAAAATTGGATAAGTAGATGAAACTGATCTTTCAACTTACTGTTTCTATAATATTAAACCTGTTTCTGATTTGCTCTTGTTTGAACAATTTGGCAGGTATTGGGCCTTATACAGAACATGAGCGTTTTTCAATGTCCAAAATGCAAACATGAAACGCATATTTTTGGAGCTGATGGAGTGAAGAAATTATCCAAGAATATTGGTATAGATGTTTTAGGTAAGAATATGTGGTTTAACATAAAACCTACATTAGACAAAACAGGATGCAATACAATTTTTCATTAGTAGGTGTTGATTTTAATGAAACTAAATATGAGTTGTAGAAACTGGGATTGTGTTCCTGCATTGTAGTTATTGCTGCTACTCTAATATATGGAATGTTTGTATCTATTATGATATAAATATATCTGGATGGGGTCTGGATGGGGAAGAACTTGCTCAGACTCAACCCCTCCAAGACCGAGTGGCTGTGGCTTCCGGCGCCCCGATATAGTCAGCAGGTGCCATCGCTAACTATTGGGGGTGAATCTCTGCCCCCCACAGAGAGGGCTCACAATCTGGGTGTCCTTCTGGATGCACGGCTGTCTTTAGAAGAGCATATGACGGCCGTGGCCAGGGGGGCCTTTTATCAGGTTCGCCTGATTCACCAGTTGCAGCCCTTTCTGGATCGGGACGCCCTACGCACGGTCACTCATGCCCTTGTTACTTCCCGGTTGGACTATTGTAATGCTCTCTACATGGGGCTCCCCTTGAAGAGCACTCGGAGGCTCCAACTCGTCCAGAATGCGGCCGCGCGGGTGGTTATGGGCGCAACTCGTTGTGCCCATGTGACACCCCTCCTGCGCGAGCTGCACTGGCTCCCAGTGGTCTTCCGGGTGCGATTCAAGGTGTTAGTTACCACCTTTAAAGCACTCCATGGCATAGGACCCGGGTACCTCCGAGACCGTCTTCTGCCACCAATAGCCTCCCACCGACCAGTCCGTTCCCACAGAGAGGGTCTCCTCAGGGTGCCGTCAACCAAGTTATGTCGACTGGCGGCGCCCAGGGGGAGGGCCTTCTCTGTGGGAGCCCCAGTCCTGTGGAACGAACTGCCCCCGGAAATTCGTAAGATCTCCGACCTCCGGGCGTTTCGCTGCACACTGAAGACCCTATTATTCCACCAGGCCGGACTAGCAACACAATAGTTTTTAAATTGGGATATTTAAATTTATTGGGGTTTTAAATCTGAGCCACTTTATTTAATTATTTTAAATTTTATATTGTTGTTTTGTTTGTGTTTTTAAACAGGCTGTACACCGCCCTGAGTCCTTCGGGAGAAGGGCGGTATAGAAATAAAATTATTATTATTATTTATTATTATTATTATTATTATTAACAGTGAATGAATGAGTGGTCATTAACTACCCATAATAACATTGGGTCATTCAGACTGGAACTTAGAAGCTGATAAAGTAAAGGCATAAAATACTTTCAGAGAAATATTCAGGCTGACAGGTCTGGTAGACACCAAATCTATATGTTTGGTGAGTTAAGCTGTCTTCTGGAAGAGTATCGAAGATTCCTGTCTGAAAGCTACTTTGTGTATATTACTGCCAGCACAAAACATCTCCCATATTAGAGGAAGTTCCTTAGTTATTTCACAAACAAGTATCCATGTATATCTGATTGTGTGGTTGTATGGATGCGGTTTTTCTATGGGGAGGGGGCGCGTTTGGTGTCTCATGTTGCCTGAATCCTGTGTGTGCATGGCTTTGCTCACTTGCATGACCTGGTTCCTGATAGGCTGCGGATTGGTGCCGGTCTGCGGTCCACGGGTTGGGGATCCCTGCTATACAGTATGCTATAAGACGGGAGATAAAAAAATTATAAGCACTTTCAACATCCAGTCATTTTGAGCTTGCTTGTTTTTTTTTTGCAGACGTTTCAGTATCCAAACTAGTGCTGCTTGCTGATGATGTTATCTAGTTCGGGTAATGAAACCTCTGCAAGAAAACAAGCAAGCTCAGAGAGCACCAAGGACCCCTCATTTCAACCCTGAGCTACAAACAGGGTGGATAAAAATCAATGATTTTTTTAAAAAAATAAAAAAAATCAGATTTTTAAAATTTTTTGATTTAAATCGGATTTTTTTTTTAATCGAATTTATTTTAATAAAAAACTTTTGGGGTAAAAATCTATCGTAAGATAGTTTTCTATTTAAGATATATAAATAATTTAATTTATTCAGCATGAAATGGAGCTTAGTTATGTAGCATGAGGCTGTATATTCTGCAACACTGGGACTATCGGTGAGTCAACAGTGGGTCAAAGGAGTAGCAGAGATGACAGTTGCTCTTTAAAAATTATGATTTAAATCAAGCCTTTTTACTAGTGATTTAAATCATGATTTAAATTGTGATTTAAATCAACTTGATTTAAATCAAATCCACCCTGGCTACAAATACTCTCCTTTATTGCAGAAATAGTATTTTCAAAATTATTTATACTTGTTTCTAGTTTTTGTTAGCATTTTAGTAAATCCTGCATTCATTGAGAAACTGACATGTTTTATTTTAACCTAAAATTGACATAGCCTCCTCTACTATGTTGCATATTTGTAATAGCAGCACCAGAAGATTGCTGGCCATGCCATTACAAATGTAGCGTCCTAGACCCTAGTTGCCTTACCTACTCCTTAGAACAAATTCTATATGTTCTTTTTTGTGATTCTCAATTTAAGTGTAGATTTGTTTTTACAATCAGTTTTTGCATAATGGAATTATTTAAATCTAAAAAGTTAATCTTCTGTAAATATTTTTTTTAAATGAGACGATTCTGAGTATTATTACACAGTTTTTATTTATTTCTGTGGCAACTGAGTAGAAAAATTCAATATACAGTTAACAGTTGGAAGGGAAAATTAATTAAATATCTAACTAGCACTTAAATCAGTAGTTGTCTGATAACAATAACACTTTCATATTGCTGATTAAATATTTAAGCATCTGTTTGAATATTGATTAGAATTTTATACCACTGGAAATCAGTAGGGAATGAGATGCAGTGCTGAAGAAATAATGTGTTGCGTGAAGAAGTTATATACTGGAACATTTTACTGTGGATTTATTTTTGTGTGCATTACAAAATATAACATCTGCTCAGTTGGGATTTGGACTTGATTTTATGTAGCAAACCACCAAGTACATGCATTGCAGTACAGATTTCTTCAGAACTAACTTGGCTGAAAAGTAAAACAGAGATTATGGAGTTGAAAAGAAATTGGTCTCAGTGGTGCATGCAGATCTGGCATGTTTTCTTTATTATCACCCTAAATAGGTCATATCTGTCTCCACCCCCATGCCAGTATTAGATAATTTTAGCAGACAAGAGAGACTAAACATCACTTTACAGTCATCTTTAGAAACAATTTCTTTTTAAAATAATCTCAGTAATCCAAAATTTTGACAAGGCTTGACTAATTATCATTTCTAATACTTCTGAAATACGACACCAGGTGTATTACTTGTACTACTTCAATTAAAACATTTGTGTAACGTTCAACCTTTGTGCCAATCTTCTTATATTTAATACAGGTGACATTCCACTACATGTCCACATAAGAGAAACATCGGATTCTGGCAAACCTATTGTCGTTTCACAGCCCCAGAGCAATGTAGTAAGTTTAATGTAATAAACTTCTTGAATGTAGACGTTGGAACAGAACATGTTATTTTTGTGCTAAAAGGATTTCAACAGAGCTAACTTATTTTATTGGTCTTTACTTCTTTCATAATGACTATTTAGCCATGATTTCAGCAGGCAATACTAGGCAATAGTTAAGATTTTTGCGTAGGAAAGAAAGCAATAGAAAGTTATTTTTTGAATAATAAAACATTGACTATGTTTTTTCAATTTATTCTTGAGTAATTTTATAGGTATAAATGTCTGACCTTACTTAGTTATATTATATTTACCTGACAGGAAAAGAGACTCCTCCCTCCCAAAATAATTGCCTGAAAACATGGAAACATCATTCACTGAGAAGAGTTATAGAAGAAGGTTCTAGTGAAAGAACCTTCACTACCCTTTTATAATTCAGAGAATTCAGTGTAAAATTCATCTTAATTCATCAGATTAAGAATTTACATCTTAATTTATGCCATGCTCTAGTTAATAAATATTTGGTTAACAAGTAGAAAAGTTGCATTGGGTTTTACAATTACTTTAGAATGGAAATTATAGCATAGGAAGTAGCTAAGGATTAGAAGTTGTGGTAGGATTTTGATCCTAAAGATCTGTAAAGCTATAAAACACCAAACCTCTGTGGTCAGTAGATCTTTTGTTCATCTATTGATTTATGAGTCTAGTTCTGCCTTCTGTTTGTGCTATATTTAAGTGTTTGGCCTTCAGATGATTGGTCAGCAGATTAATGGGCAAATGATTAGTGTTAAGCTGTCAACTTTTTTATTTGCTAGAGCAAATGGATCCTTGCTTTGCAGAAATGTGAGCTGTAGTAATTCCCTTAGAAATTCCAAAGCAAAAGAGAAGGGAGAAATATCTCTAGTGAACATAAGCTAATATTCATGTGAAGACATTTCTGAAGGATGAATGTGAGCTCTATATTTCTGCTTTCAATTTTTCATGTTGTGCTTCCTCTTATTATTATTTTTTTAGTAATGGTGACATTCACGACAGTAGAATGCAGTTTTATTTTATATATATATATATATATATATAAAACAATTGCTATTTAACGCTTTCTGGTCAATAGTAGTTAAGAAATTATTACTAATCCCACATTTCTGCAAAATGTATACCAATGGGCTGATTTTCTAGGGCATGCCTACACTTTAGACTTAGCATTAGCACTTAGATTTATATACCACTTCACAGTCCTTTGCAGTCCTCTCTAAGTGGTTTACAGAGTCAGTCTATTGCTCCCAACAATCTGGGTCCTCATTTCATCGACCTCAAAAGGATGGAAGGCTGACCTTGAACCGGTCTGAATTGAACTCCTGGCAGTCAGCAGAATTAAGCCTGCAATACTGCATTCTAAGCACTGTGACACCACTTAGCTTTCTGTTTGAAGTGAAGTTGGCTTGTATGATCTAGGCCTTTCTAAAAATGATTCAGAACAACATTGCTCCAAAGGGCCTTCAGTGATGCCTATCACCTGAAATGATTGTAACAATGGTTTTTTGATTATGTATTTTTTTATTTTTATATCTTGATTATTGTAAACAACCAACATTAACCTAACACCAAGAATGGTGGGTAAGATATTAGATGGATGGATGAATGGGTAGGTAGGTAGGTAGAGATAACGCCAACATTATTTAATATACTACTTTTCAGTATTCTGCCCTTACAAACTGTGCTTGCTTGCACCATATCCATTTACCTTATTTATTTATTTATTTATTTATTTATTTATTTATTTATTTATTTATTTGATTTGATTTGATTTGATTTGATTTGATTTGATTTGATTTCTATACCGCCCTACTCCCGAAGGACTCAGGGCAGTGCACAGCCAAACAATAAAATACATACATACAAAATTTAAAAGTGGAATTAAAATCAAATTAAATAGTTTTGGCCCAGACAAATTTAAAACCCCAATCAATTTAAAACCAATTTTAAAATTTGAGTATATAAAATACTAAAAAATATTAAAAATTAAAAGTCTTTTATAAAAGAGGGAGAAAAATTAGGCCAGGCCCGCCTGGTGAAATAAAAAGGTCTTTAAAGCGCGGCGGAAGGTGCACAGATCTGGGATCCTCCGTATCTCCAGGGTGAGCTCGTTCCAGATAGTAGGTGCCCCCACAGAGAAGGCTCTCCCCCTGGGGGCCGCCAGTCGACATTGTTTGGCCGACGGCACCCGGAGGAGCCCCTCTCTATGGGAGCGTACTGGCCGGTGGGAGGCTATTGGTGGTAGTAGGCGGTCCTGCAAGTACCCAGGTCCTGAGCCATGGAGCGCTTTAAAGGTGGTAACCAAAACCTTGAAGCGCACCCAGAAGACCACCGGGAGCCAGTGCAGTTTGCACAGGAGAGGTGTTACATGGGAACGCCATGTCACTCCCATAACCACCCGCGCGGCCGCACTCTGCGCCAGTTGGAACCTCCTGGTGCTCTTCAAGGGGAGCCCCATGTAGAGAGCGTTACAATAGTCCAGACGGGAGGTGACGAGGGCATGAGTGACTGTGCGTAAGGAGTCCCGATCCAGAAAGGGACGCAACTGGCGGATCAGGCGAACCTGATGAAAAATCCTCCTGGTCACGGCCGTCAAGTGCTCTTCTAAAGACAGCATGAATCCAGGAGGACACCCAAGTTGCGCGCCCTCTCCGTGGGGGCCAATGATTCGCCCCCAATAGTCAGTGATGGCACCAACTGACTATATCGGGACATCGGAAACCACAGCCATTTGGTCTGTCATGCATCACCCTTTGTTCTTTCAACTTCTTACTTCTATTATGTCATCAACTCTATCTAAATACAACTTTCTTAATCTTCCCCTTCCTCTGAGTTGTCATTCATTTTTTCTTCATAAAGAAAGTCTTCATTCGCTGTAACCAATCACTTTAACCAAAACATCTCAATATAGCAATAGCAAGAGCACTTAGACTTATATACTGCTTCACAGTGCTTTTACAGCCCTCTCTAAGCGGTTTACAGAGTCAGCATATTTCCCCCAACAATCTGGCTCCTCATTTTATCCACCTCGGAAGGCTGAGTCAACCTTGAGCCGGTGAGATTCGATCTGCTGAATTGCAGCTAGCAGTCAGCTGAAGTAGCCTGCAGTATATCTAATATACTTAGATTATGACTTATTATTTTATTTTATCACACACACTCCTTAAATATCTCAGCGTTTTTTAGAGGCAGAGTCTTAGCATCCAAAAGAATGCATTAAAGCACTTATTTTGTTTACCAAATCCCTCCAAACCCTTTATGTGCAAAGTTGTGAAGCTTTTATATAATATGAATAAGACTTTTGCTTTTTGGTTCTTCTTCTGTTTTTGGTCTAGGTTTCCCCCCTCCTAGGAATTCATATAACCAGTTTATGCTGATGAGCAACAGCCAAACATTTTTAGATCATGAATTCAAGAAGTATGATACTCCAGATGTCTTTTTGACATTCCTGACATACAGCATCTTGGCCTCAAATAGCAATTTGCTTGACTTTTGTGCTAGTTTCAACAGCAATCAATTTATTCTTTTTTTTTATGGGTTCAGTGGAAGATTTTTACCCAGTTTCCTTTTGCTTGACTTCTTCGGAACTTTACCTCTTTCACCTACCTCCACTACTTAATTAGATATAATTTTCTTTCACACCATAATATTTTACTCCATGTCCACCCTTTAGGTCCTTTTCTCACTCATCATTGAGCATCCATCGTTTCTGTTTGGGGGTCTTTTTTTGCCAATAATACTACCTATATTTAAGTATAGTATGAGAAAGAACTCAGCACATTGTAGCTGGGCATCTGCAATACCCTAGTGTTGTCTCTAGACCCCTCAAATTAAACATCATCATCATTTTAGCCATTGTCTATCCAGTGCAGGATGAAGGCCTCATCCACATGTTTCCAACCAATATGATCCTGAGTTTTCTTTTGCCAGTTGGACCCACAATACTTGCTGATGTCGTCAATCCATAACTTAAATATAAATTTAATTAATTTATTTTTGTAAGTGCCTAGAGTCAACTGAATGTGAGTGGGTGACCATGTAAATTCTCTAAATAAATAAAAAAATATATTCATGCTAAAAATGTCCAACTTTTTCTTAGTTTTCCAAGTTCTGTAAGATTCAGGCTTTCTTATACCATAATTAGTAGGTGATGCTGGTGACATTTCTCATTAATGACAATATTGTAAGATTGCAGTCATAGAAGTGAAGAAGTGTTCTGAGTTTCTAATAAAAGATCTCCCTATCCCATAAATACAGACTAAACTTTTGCATCATAATTGCTATATTATTCATCAATGTTTTGCTATTGGCCACTTTTTAGGTACAATTGGTATAGTTAATCACACTATAACAGCAATCAGGTGGTGGTGGGTGATTTGTACTCCTGTTTCATAAGAAATATTTTATAATCCATTCTAATCTAGGATATTAATGTGGTGAATTTGTAAATATCTTGCAGGCTCAAGCCTATTTGAAGATTGCTGCTGAAATAGTGAAAAGACTGTCACTTTTTCCAATTTGAAGTCATCATTTTGAAGAACTACACCTTGAATTTTATGATTGAGCTATGACAATGTAGCAAAATGAATAACAAATATTTTATGACTGTGTATTATGGAAAGTTTTTCAGTTACATATTTTAATATTCATATTTAGATTCTTTAATTCCAGTAAGTTAAAGATACTGTTCCAGCAAATAATCTTTTGGTACTTTAGAGACCGATAAACTCATTAGGACATAAGATTTAATGGATTACAATTTATTTAATCAGATGCATTGAATATAGTCTTGAGAAAGTAATACTATATCAGATGCACTGAGTATAGTCCAGAGAAAGAATTATTACATGCGAGGGAGATGGCCTGTTTAAAAATATGATAAATAAATAAACAAATTACATATACCATCAGCTAAGATGGGTCTAAAAAATTCATGATGGCTGTGAAAGTGAACATTTAAAGCATTTGTTTAGTACTTTCTAACATAAGATCCATTAAAAACCTAACTATTTTGTGGAGCTCAATATCATCCATTTAACTGTCAATCATTTATGAAACATGGAAGGTTTTTTTAGAGGGCGGTGTCCAAAACCTATCTATATTTATTACAGAGATTGAGAAGGATCAACATATGCAGGGAACAATTTGTTCTTCATATGTTTGAGTGTAAAATACAAAATATACTGGTTTGGATATCAAACTATGACTAAATGATTTTTTCCATCCATGAAAGGCATTAGATGCATCAGTGAATTTACATTGGCAAGATTAAGAGGGCAACTGATCTTTGTCAATTTCTCTTTTTCTTATGGAGTAGCTCCATTTGGAGCACTCCAAAGCTCATTCCAGCAAGTTGTGAGACTTTCTGAAAGTGATATTGGAACTTCAGAGCAAAGCAGGGGTGAAATGCTCCTGGTTCGGACAGGATCGCCCGATCCGGTAGCGATGGAGGCGGGTGGTTCGGAGAACCGGTAGAAAAAATCCCTGTCCCCCCCCATGCCCAGCTGAGCTGCACAATCATCAGAGGCTTTTTTTTTTACCTTTAAAAGCATTTTTTCTACAACCTCTGGCCGAAAAAATGCTTTTAAAAGCCAAAAAAAAAAAAAAAGCCTCTGATGATCGTGCGGCTCAGCTGGGATCATCAAAGGCTTTTAAAAGAAAAAAAACCTTTTTTTCTTTTAAATGCCTCTGACGATCCAAGCTGAGTTTTTTAAAAAGCCTCTGCTGATCAGGCAACTCAGCTGGGATTGTCAGAGCCTTTTGAAAGCATTTTTTTACAACCTCATTGCCGAAGAGGTTGTAGAAAAAATATTTTTAAAAGTAAAAAAAAAAAAATTGGCCACGCCCACCCAGTCACATTACCCCCTCACCAAACCATGCCCACAGAACTGGTAGTAACAAATTTTAGATTTCACCACTGGAGCAAGGGTATAGTCAGTCAAGATCATCTTGCTTTTCCTTTCTGCTGGTAAAGAGTTGGGGAACTTTCGATCCTCCAGGTATTACAGAACTGCAATTCGGGCCATCACACATCACCAATTTCTTATGCTGACTACAACTATTGGAATTTTCAGTTCAGCAACATTTTGAGAGCTTACCTGGGCTAGCATAATAGTTCTGCTCACGGAATGGTCCGGGTTGATCTGATCTATATAAGATCTTCTAACTTTTCCCACCGATTTAATCAAGTATTGTCTGAAGATTTTGTGCCAGTCCCTATCATTCATTCCAATCTGTCTTACAAAGTTATGGTGAGGATAAAATGAAGGAGGATCCCCATAATTTAATCTTTCATATGAATGCTTAAATATATGTGTAATAAATTTAAAATAAATAATGGGACTAAAATGGAAATAGGATATGATAGTCTGGAATAAATATAGCAAAACTTTGTTTTCCCATGAAGAGTTATTGTGAAATTGCCAGAAATTATTTATTTCGAGATGTAATTCATTATTCAAAGGATATGATGAGTATAAAAGAAGATTGGATAAATTCAGTTTTTCAAAATCTGTTAGCTTTTATACTTAATATTCTCTTTGGGTAAGGGGTTTATACTTATAAATACTAGTTACAGGAGAGGGACATGTGTCCTTGGAGCCACCAAGTAGTTCAACTCAAAAAACATTTTACTTTGAACTTTGGTTTTTAGATGACTTATTGTCTCCATTCTGCTTTTTCTTCTTTCTTGCTCTGAATGTATTGTAGGAATTCACTTACTAATCTCCACAACTCTTTGAGAGATGAGTAGGGTGAGCGGGTCTGTTAAATCCTTATGTCAGTTACTTCTGAATTTATGTCATTAGCAACAATAATTACTTAGCATACTTTCATAATTGATGTAAATGAGGCCATTGTAGTAACACTTCTATTTAAGGGAGAAAGATGTAATTTGATGGACAGTAGTCCATACAACGCGGATAAAGCCCACATAAAACATTGTTAATTTGAATTTTGAAAAACCTTTTCTGTGTTTAGCAATCACAGTTCAGGCAATGATAAACCTCTGCAAAGTTTTTGTGCCTTTTAATATAATAATTTCAATATTTATGTAGATGTTTCTGAAGATTAGTTGGATGTTGTCCTGTGGGAGGCAGGGGTTCTCCTATTTTCTATTTTTAATCCTAACCTCAGTAGACTTTTGCATTTATACACTTCAAGCAATTATAAGATTCAAGCTGATTTCCTATGTGTTAATTGCATGTTTGTTTCCAGGTTATCTTCTCCACTCACCAAACCTTAACTGTATCGTTTACATATTCTAACATAATTGCATTGGAAGGATGGGTTATTTTTATTTCTTCACTGTAGTAAATCTACAACAGTATGAATGAATAAAGCAATGAACATCATATTGCGCTATGTATGTATTTAAAATAAAGTTTGCACATTATTTTTAAGAGCAAAACAACACATTTTCTATTACCTTTGTAACTATGAATAGTTTTGATCTGTGATGTGATGGCATACAGGTTAAGTAAGGTAGCTGTTCATAATGTTTATATGAAATTACATAGGATTGTGCAAATGAAGTCTGTTCTGATTCACATCAGGTTTCCCAAGTAGGATTGATTCAAACTGAATCTGAGTCCAAAAGGCAATTTGTTCTGGAGGAAAAAAAAAACAGCATTTCTGAACATGTGCAAAAAATCATTAAATTGTCAAACTGGTTCAGAGACAACCAATCAATTTGACAATGGGATCCAATTTAGAAGGTCTATATTAAATTCATATTTATTTAATGTTTATTTGTTAGATTGATGACCCATGTGAATTGAATGTCTGAACTGAATCCCAATAAATTGTTTATAAAAGATGTCAAACTTTTAATTCACTGATGTCCATGATGAATTTGTCATTATTTTGAAACGTTAGGTATAATTTGTGAGGCAATTTTTGAAAGCCTTGTTTAAAGCCTTCTGCTATAGTAGCATCTATAACTGTTTTGGGATAGTACATCCCAAAATTCCTTCCTTTTGGTCATGCTGATTGACAATTGTAGAAGGTGAAGGACCCTAGTTGGAGAAGATTTTTGAAGGAAGCAGGTAGGGAAATTGCTATACATTCTCACGAGTCAATCCATTAGCGCATGCAGTTTTATGTAAATGTAGAGGTAAGAGCCATAGACAAAATGTAGCTTATTGCCAAAGGTTGTTCAATTACATAATTATGAGGAGTATAAAGTACTCTTCAACTTACAACTATTCATTTAGTGACCATTCAAAGGTACAATAGCACTGAAAGTGACTTATGACTATTTTCACACTTACGACCACTGCAGCTTCCCTTTGGTCACGTCATCAAAATTCAGATGCCTGGCAATTGAGTCCTCTTTATTACAGTTGCAGTGTCCCAGAGTCATGTGATCCTGTTTTGTGACCTTCTGACAAAGTCAATGGGGAAACCAGATTTGCTTAACAACCATGTTACTAATTTAACAATTGCAGTGATTGACTTAACAACTATGGCAATACAGGTCATAAAATGCGGCAAAGCTCACTTAACAAAAGTCTCACTTAGCAACAGAAATTTTAGGCTCAATTGTGACTAAGTTGAGGACTACCTGTATAATAGCATTGCAACTAGGATCATCTTCAACAGGGTTCCACCACTATTGTTAGACAAAGTAGCTTGAAAAGAATGACTGATTTTAGTCATAAAAATAAATGAATGGGAAAAGATTTTCCTTTCAAACTAGCTCTCATAGCTGCTGTTACTTTATTTTTAAAAATAGGTTTTGTGTTTTGTGTCCTTTAAATGTTCTTCAGTTTGGCCTCACCATAAATACACACTTAATTTGGGGGTGTAGGAACGTATACATTTCCAACTGCTCTCAGTAATGGGATGATGTCTTAAATCAAGGTATTGTGATGGTACAAAAATAGTTATGTAAAAGTATAAACCATGCAGTGCAATTAAACTTTTCCTACAAAGTACAAAGAGTAGCCATGAGATAATTGTGTACATCACATAATTGCCCTTTTTGTGTAATTAAATGTGTATTTCTCATGCTGATTTCCCTAAGAGCTTTATTTTTAGTCACTATTATAAATAAAACCACCGATTAAGGAGCAAATGTAGCCTTATAAATGTATCTGCACACAATTTAAGAGTAGCACTGAGGTTTTTAAACCCCTTTTTTTCTGAAATATTGATAAATGTATTGCCACAATTTTGGTTACACTTAGCAATCAAAACTATGCTTTAATAGATCGTTATTGTGTTTTGGAACACACCGTACAATAGAGAGCAGTTTGTCACCAAATTATATTCAAACAATTGGGAGAGTTGGCAACTAATTTTCCTATCCTGAATATTTTTTACGGTTGTATTATTGATTTGTAAGCCTGATTTTGGAATTTTAGGAATTTTTGAGAAAATTCTATTATTTTGATGTAATGTTTCAATAAAGTTATCCCATGTAACTTGTACCAAGGGTGAAATCTACTTACCTTCCCTACCAGTTCGGAAGTGCACGTGCCCCGCCCGCGCAGAGGGTAAAAAACAGGTTACTTCCTGGTTAAAACCAGGAAGCAATGACGACTGGGCAGGTGGGTGGAGCCTCACGCTGCCGCCGCTACCAGTTCTCCAAACCACCTGCCACCATCGCTACCGGTTCAATCGAACCGGTCCAAACCGGTAGCATTTCACCCCTGACTTGTACCAAATACATTACGCAGACATATTGTCTATTAATACTGTATTATATGATAGTGTGTAAGCATAAGAGATGTACATAAATAACTTTGCTTTCTTCACATATAAAATGCATACAATTTTTTAAAAATACGATCTTGGGCTTCACTGCTCTTAACTGCAGCTGTAAATAGATAAATGCTTTGGATCAGTGGCATTCACTTCATATTTTTTTAAAAAAAATCAATGGGCGAACACTAGTCATTAAAATGGGGTTTAACACTTGTGCTTATTCTGCAGCTGTTCCAACCTGACTTTTTCTGTCATATCCTCTTAACTGCTTGTCTGTATTTTACAGTAATATTTAGAATGGCCACAACAGAGCTGTATGTAGAATCATGATTGCTGCTCTTCTACTGTATTTATGGACTCTAGTTTCAGATCTGGAAAGATAAATTTACAAATTACTTTCAAGCAGCTGCAAAGCTGAGTTGCAGAAACATTTACAGAGAAGTAACAGAACAGTAAATTGCCAGGTTATAAAACCAAGAAAGGCTTAATTCCTTCTCTTCCCCAGTGTTTCCATCTGTGCTCTTGACACCCTTTCTGGTGCTGTAATAAAGCAATTTTGTGGTGCTCCCTAAAGGTTTCCAATACTGCCAATCGTCCTCAAGATGAATGCATGGGATAAATGGAGCTGATATAAGATTGTTTCCCACATTCCTAGGTCTTAAAAAGGTTAAGTGAATCATGGTACTATTCCGGAGTAACTAGCTTGATGCTAAATTTCAGCCAGTTTCAGTCATTGCTCATTTTAAGCCACCTCTGAAAGACTGCATCTTCAGTTTTGAACATAATGTAATTTTTTTCATCTTATTGGTATTTCAGTTACTCTGTTTAAATATTGTGTGACTATATTGCAGAAATAAGTTGTCAGAAATAGGGGAAATGACAAAAGCACTGAGTGAAAACCCTGTACAATATGTTCTCTTTGGAATGCAGTAATTCTGAAAGTAGAACTGGAGTGGGAATAATTGAAGCCTTTAACTTCCTTTTTTTAAAAACAGTTATGAATACAAGAAATTCTGAAAAGAATTGAGACAGAGATGCTTCCAATAAAAGGATAGGATAGGTGAGCTCTCTAAAGGTCTTTTAAAAAGAAGTGTATGATATGCATATGAATATTCTGAGAAATGATGAGATGGTCTCAGCGCTATTTCACATTTTTACCTGTCATTGGCAACATGTGTTCAGCATCTGGCCGCCACTAAGGACCAGTAGCCTATGGAGAATGAATAGTGACATTGAAAAGAAGAGTTCATAATATAAGTGGTGAACATGTACACCTAGAATGAGCCTTTCTGTTTCTTTTGAAAACTTTTCTGAGTGAAAACTGTCCTGCTTGACTGCATTTTGGTGAGAAAATAAAGTGTTGAATGAATACCTTTACTAACGCTTGCTTTTCCAATCCATGGTGGATGTATTGCAAAAGGATATGTGAAATGGGAAACATGGGTTATATCCTAGGTCAGTATGAAATTTTTAAAAGACTCCCTATATATCTGCCTCCAATTGATTAGTATCATATTATTAGACATGGCTTCAATTCTAAAACAGACATTACTGTGACTGATCATGATGGGGTTTTTTTTTTTTTGCAGGAAGAAATGCTGCTGGTAAAACAGGAATACTGAATCCTGTTACTTGCTTTACCCAAACTACAGGTGATTATTCTTCCAATGGGCCCAGAGGTTAACATAAACCATATTAAACAGTACACCACTTGCAGAGGCTGCGGAAATGACTGGTTTCAGCATCTCACCATTGCCTCTGCATCCCATCAACTGATTATTTGGTGACACCCAGGGGGAGGCAAGACAACCTTTTGATCACTAGGCCTATATTAACATTTGGGGGGAGAGCAGCCGCCACGCCAGATGGTAAAAATGATGCAAAGTGAGTGGGTCCATGTCACAGTTGTGAATGTGTCAGCATTAGGAGGAGGAGGAGGTTTTTCAGGAGGTCTGTTTTTAAAATCATTAAGTTTATTTTATGACTTATCTTATACTTGTAATTCCAAATGTTAGAAAACTGGAAGCTTTTAAAAAGATGGTTCATGAGACTAAGGACTTTAGTTGCACACCCATGTTCTAACATAGGCATTCTGTTGTGGCAGTTCATGTGCTAAAACTTTATTTTGATCATGGGATTCTTTTTATGCTGACTTTCTTTTTCAGTGATATTTCCAGTTTGATTTCACGTAAACTAATGCAGAACTCAAGAAAGGTTTTCCCATAATGAATATTACTTGTCTTCCTTTGTTATCTTCTTCATCTGCTTTATGTTTGAAAAAGAGGGTAATCATCTACTATTTAATCATTTCTCTTTGGCAAATCTCCCAAAACAGTGTGTTCTCTGAAATCTATGGAAACACGGCCATATTTTATTAACTGATCTCTTTTGCCAAAGAAAAGACATACATGAAGCAGGTTATATCAAAACCCTAGAGAAGTATTGTTCAAAACATTCACCTCCTTTAGCTTCCTTTTATCCATTGTGATTCAGATTTTAGATATGTTTAGCATCATTAGAGTCTCTTTATGGTTACATATTCATTAGTAATTTATTTTTAATAAGGTGAAACTTTATTTCCATCTGAAACAAGGACACGTCATCCTCCCATACCTGGCAGCTGCCCTCCCCCATCCCATCCCACCCTAGCCATGCTTGTGTTGTGCCAGAGCAGCCACTCACCTGCCAGTCTTCCCCATTGGC